TTTTAAATTTTTCGAATTTCATGGCTACGAACGGAATTCATGATAGAACTGAATATGAATATTTTTTTATCTAAAACTATAATGCAATAGTATTATAATAGTATTCCTTTATATATAACTACTACAGCATAAATATTAAATAAAATTTATAGATTCGTAAAAATTATTAAAATAAATTCAGAAGAAAAATCACAAAAAGAAATGCATTGCAAATATTTTCCCTTTTTTTCAATTAAAGTGCAAATATGAAATCAAAAATTTTTCTTCTTTTTCAAATCTAAAAACAAAATATAATATTAGATTTATTGGGATTTGAAAAAAATAAAAAAAAACATAATAGTATTTATAAAAATTTTCTATGTAAATTTTACAATTACATCAATAAAAAAACAATGAAATAAGAAAATGTTCTAAAAAATAGAAAATTATTAAATTGGATTCACAATAATTGTTTTAATACATTTATTTTATTTTTATATTAAATTTTATATTTTTATTACATATTTATTAACTGAAGCACCTTTGGTAACCACTTACAATAGTATTTGTTTTTTTTATATAAGTATTAGATTTTTATTATTTTATTTTTATAAATTACTATTATTTTTAATTTTTTCTTTATTTGTTTCAATTTTCTCATATTTAGTATAAAAGATTTTTTTTATATTTCTTTAATTTTGTACTGCTACTGCATTTTATATTATTTAATAAATTTTTTTAATATACTGCTATATATAAATAAAATTATTAATTTATATAACTATTACCTTTTATAAATTAATATTATTATTAATACTGTTTTATATATATATATTTTATTATTATATAATATTAATACTAATATTAATATTAATTGGTAATCAATCAAGTTATTAATATTAATATTAATTATATTATTATTACTATTACATTTATATATTTTATTCAATATAATTAAACTAATAAAGCTTCCTGTTTGTTTTTTCTTCGTATAATTTATTAAATTATATTAATTAATATAGAATATTTAATATATTATATTTTGATATAATTTATAAAACATATATTATAATAATATAATATAAAATACATAATTTTTTTATTTATATATAATAGAATAATTTAAAGAAATTATTTTATTATATATAAATTAAAAATATAAAATATAATATAAATTTAAATACATTTGTATTTCTAAATTATATGCACATGTACATAAAATAAATCACACTTATATATTTAATATGTTTAATGAAATATTCCAGGCATTTAAGATAAGATTGTTCAAGCTAAGTTTTTCTTAAAATTTAAATACTTCATAAAAATATTGATTGAATTTTATTATAAATAACTAAATATAATCTAATTTTGTCTAAATGTTCTATATTAAAAAAAAATTATATAAATTTTTAGAAACTATACAAAATTACATTTATTTTTTAAAAATTTTCATTTTTATGTAATTTATTAAAATAAAATCCAATTATTTTGATATATATCAAATATATATATTTCATATGAAATATTGCAGTAGCTTTGAAAATAATTTTTATAATTCATTAAAAAAATATTAATATAAGAATACGTTTTAGTATAACAGAATTGGTTTTAAATAATTTTCGGAATCAAAAACAATCTGTTTGAATTTTTAAAAATTTTACGGTAATTCTCTAAAATATTTAGAAAAACAAAAGTCAACGAATGTAAAATCTAAATGATAACAAAACATACAAATTTTTTATAATCTTATAAGGTTTTAACGAAAATTTTTTATTATTTAAAAATATAAACAAGTAGAAAAAAATCATTTAATTTAAATATTGGTTTTTAACAAAAAAAATTAATTTTATGGTCCGGTCCTGCTTATAGAGAAAAATAAAATAGCCTCTCTTCTATATTTCAATAATATCAATTTATAATATGGTGCATTTATTTTAAATTATTCATTGTGTTTTTGAAAATTGAAACAAAATTTCAAAAAATTAAAATTAAAAAATATTACAATAATCAATAATAAAAATAATAAAATTACTATTTAATTTTTTTCTTATATTTATAAAATTTGTTGTTGTTATTCATCACAATTTATTTAAAAATTTTCATTTTAATATATATGTGTATACATATATATATACATATATTTTTAAATCAATTAATAAATAAAATTAATTTTGTTTTTACTATTTTTTTTTAATTTTAGTTTTTTTGTTTGTTATTTGTTTGCTTGTAATTTTTTTTACTGGAGTTCATTATGTTTCTTTGATGTTTTCATATTCACAAAATGTTGTTTGAATTATTTTTTAATATTATATAAGTAAAATGTATAAGAATTTATATAAATTATATGTTACATACATATAAATCCATTGATAGTATTATATATCTTGTTTTTTTTTTTATAAAATATAATACATAATAAATTTTAGTATATTGCAATTATTTATATAAAAAATATTCTATAAATAAATCCGTTTTGAATTTTATATTATTTAATATTTTTTTTTTTGGTGAGGAAGTTTACCAATGAAAAATATAAAATAAGTAAAGAAAAAGAAAGTGTACAAATACAAAAAAAATTAGATAAACAGTTTTTGTTTTATTCAATTATATTTTGTTATAATAAATTTTGTTTGTAAAATTTGCAATTAAAGGAACGAGAAAAAAAATTGAAGATATTTTCAAAAAAAAAAAAAAAAATTTTTTTACATGGTTGTTTATATTTACTTATTAATTATGTCGCTTACATTATATTATCACCTTTATCACTTTTTATCATCGCAATCATCTTAAGCTCAAAATCATTCCTATTGTCTGTAATTTTTTTTTATTTTCGTTCCATTTTTCATATTAAATAGTTTTTACATTTGTTATTTATATTTTTGAATGACTTTATGCCAATATTATTATTATAATTGTATTTTTCAATTAATATTTTACTTGTATATAATATGATGTATATATATATATATACTAAATGTGTATGAAAAAATTAAGATGTAAGCATTTGTTATTTTAAGTGTGTGCATTATTAATATTTTTAAATAAATATTTTATTTATTATTCAATAAATTTTAATTTAAGTATTAATTCCAATCATTTAAAATCCATTTTTTTTTTTTCAGATAAGTATTGAAAATTTTATTGAAATACGGTAATTTTAATTATTTGTTTTCATTTTTTTATAAATTTTAATATATTTTTATATGAATATAAATTATATAGTTGTAATAAAATAGTTATTGTAAAAAAAAAAATAAAAAATTTAAAATTTGTTTAATGCACGAATAACATGAAATTCCAAAGAAATAGACTTGTAGAATAACGCAAACATTCAAAACACATTGTTGTTTCTACTTTTTAATAAAAATATGAAAATTATTTTATTGTTTTCTTCTTTTAAAAAATTTAAATTATTTTTTTTTCTTTTTAAATTATAAAATTATAATAATGATAGATTTAAACTTTATTTCAATGATGGTACCTATATTTTTTTAATTATTTAAGTAAATTATTTATCTATTTTAAATTTTTATTTATTTTTTTTGTGTTCATATACTGTTGTTATTGTATATTTTTGGTTCTTCTTGATTATTCAGTACATTTTCTAATTTGTTTTCAATTATTGTAATTATTTGTTTAATTAGTTTTATAAGTATCACATATAATTTACAAATTTTTTAATAATAATAATTATTTTAATTTGAATTTTTATTATATTTTAAATAAAAAGTAGGTGTTCATCGTCTTTTTTTTTCCAAAGTATTTTTTTTATAATTTATTAAAAAAAAAACAAATAAGTATTTTATTTCTTTTTATATGCAATTCTTTTATTGCAATCTATTATCAATTAATTATTAATATTTACCATCTTTTTTAAAATTTTAAAATTCTTTAAAAATACTACTACTTTTGTTTTTTATATACACATACGTTACTTATGTATGTATATATATTTGATGGCTTAATTATTTTTTAATTTTCTTTTTTTTTTTGTCAAAAATTAATTAGAATCTTTTTGTAATCTGTTGTTATTTTGAATAGTGTTATTAAATTGATGTTGTTTTTTATTATTTTCTTAATTGATTTTAGAATGTTTTGATTTAATTTTAATTTTAATATTAAATTTAATATTTTAGAAAATTTATTCAAATAATCACTATTATTTTATTATTAAAGTTTTAATAGTAAAAAAAAAAAACATAAAAAAAAATTTAATAAAGGAAAACAAATATTGGTACCTAGGTAGGTACTTACATTTTTAGTTTTTAATTTCCCTAATTGGTTTTCGTGTCTTGGTAGATATTATATTCAGTTTTTTTTTCCTTTTTTTTTAATTACATAATTTTAGTTTGTATTTACAAAGTTTTAAATAGGTGGGTGGTATATATTTTGAAGAACATTTATAATATTATTTAAATTTATTAAAATATTACAAAAAAAAAAAAAAACAATTTTGCACTGCAATAAATTTTTTATATAAATGAGAAACTAAAAATTTTACATTAATTTTTCCTTCTTCTTTTCATCTTACAATTTAATTGTTAAAGGTGTTTTTGTTTTTGTAATTTTAATGATTTTAATTTATAAATTGAGTTTTACTTTTTTCTTGTTGCATATATGATTATTTATTTATTTGATAAAATATGTGATAAAGTTTTATTTTTTCTAAAAGTTTTTCTTTTTCCTTTATATTTTAAGTTTTTTGCTTTTTTATTTTTGTTTTTATAACATTCAATATTCTTTTTATTTTTATTATGTATTTATTTTACACACTACAATACAAACGTATTTTTAATTTTAATTAAATTTTTTTTTATTTCTTTTACTATTTTTTTTTTTTTTTTGAAAAAAGTCTTTAAATTTCCTTTAAATATCACGATTCGTTGGAGATTTTTTTATATAATTTTTTAGGTATTTTTATTTTATTTTTTTTTTATATAAAATTAATTAAAACTTTGATTATTTTTTTTTTCTATTTTTTTTGTTTTTTTTTTTACAACTTTTAATAATGTTTCATTTAATTGTTCTTATACATATTATTATTTATTATATATATATATTTTATATATATTATATATAGTATTCACTTGTGTTTATTTATCAAAATTTTTAAATTTATTTTTTTAAAAATTGTAATTTTAAATTTTCTTTTTTTCTTTTTTTTTCTAAACCATAATAAATATATGTATTTAATTAAATATTGGTAGAAAGAGTTGATTTCTTAATAAGTTGCAATTTATTTTTTATTATTAATGCTGGGCTATGGAATTTTTATAATATATATACAATATTTCATACATACATACAATATATAATTCATTTTTGTTTTTAAATATACAATATTTTTTATTTCGAGCTGTTTATTTTTGGATTTTCTGTTATATATAGTATAAGTATATCTGTTGTCATATTTTTAAGAAAATTTTATTAAATATTGAATTTAAAAAAAAATATTTTTTCTTTTATTTATTTTTATTATCATACAGTAATTATGTGTGTGTTTGCGTGTGATTGCTTTGGGAAATCTTTTTCTTTTAATTGCAAAATTGGATTTGCATTTTTCACAAAAAAAAAAAAAAAAACTGTTCACAAAAATTTCAGTTAAAATTTTTTTCTCTGTTTCACTTGTATTTAGTTTGATAATAATTTTATATTTTGCATATTTTTAATTTTTTAAATTTTTTTTAGTTTTTTGTGATAATTTATGAATTTTATTTTATTTTTTTTTTAATACAATTTCTTACAGACTATTTTGGTATATGATGTTTTTTATTTTCAAAAAATTTTCCATTTATTTCTGATAATAATTATTAATTTGTTGTGGGTTTCATTGATTTAGCTTCTTGTATTCAAAACCGTTGTATTATCAAAAAAAAAAGGAAAAAAAACACAAAATAATGTTTTTTTTTTTAATTTCATTGTATTTTACGTGCATTTTTCATTCTTAAATTCCAGCAAGTATTTATTCTGAGTTAACCATAATTTTTAAAAATAGTTAAGCTCCAATTTTCTTCCCTATTGTTTTATAAATACATTAAGATATACATACAGATTTACTTCATTCATTTTTACCAAAAAAAAAAAAAAAAAAATTGAATAAAATTTAAACGTTAAAAAAAATATATATATACTGTAATATATAATAAATATATAATAAAAGTAATAATTTTAAATATGATGATAAAGCTTGAAAAGGGTCATGAATGAATTCACAATATATATACTTATAATTTTATTCTAGAATTAAATTTTCTGTTAGTCAAATTGTTTTGGTTAAAAAAAAAATGTAAGAAAACACAAAAAACAAAAACCTTTCTTGTATATAATAAGATATAAGTACATATATATATATATATATATATATATATATATATATATATATATATAAAAACTTTTAATCCATTTATAGTAATTTTACAATTTATGATTGCACATTGAGCAATAATTTTAAATTGTGCGTATTGAAGTCATCTAATAAATTACGTTTTGATGATTTTAAAATACTCTTTGTTGCACTGCTACTACAATTTCTTAATATAATATTGGAAGAAGATGTATTATTTATATTATTATAATTATTAATAATATTTTTGTTATTATTATTATTATTTGCACCATCATTAATATTTACTTTAACATTATTATTATTATTATTATTATAATTAATGATTGGTATTGGAGTTGATGTTGTTGATGGTGGTGAAACTTTTGTAGATGATGTTGTTGTTGTTGTTGCTGTTATTGATGCTGCTACTACTGCTGCTGGTGTTGTTATATTTGTTATAACTGCTTCATTTGATGTTGGTGTTATTCTTAATACATTATTCATTACATTACTATTATTAATATTAATGAGATCATCACTATCATATTCATTATTATAATCATCATCATTCTCAATTAATATATCACTATAAACTGTTGTATTATTTGTTGTCCAATGTTGTGGTGGTTTCGGTAATGCAGTTGGAGCTGGAGCATCAAAACATTTACTTGCAGCAAAATGCGATAAAGTTGGTAAAAGTGCAAATGTTGACGATGTTATATTATAATTGCCATTATAACGTGTACTATTATTTCCAACATTTAATAAAACTTGTACACCATTATTACCACCATTATTATTGTTAATGTTATTACTATTACTATTGTTGTTATTTTGATAATGATGTCGCGAATGGTGATGATGATTATTATGATGATGATTATAATTATGACGTCCTGCTTTATTTGAAAATTTTCCATTACTAATATTGCTGTTACCACTATTATTTAATATTGTTTTATGATGATGATGATGATGTTGATGATGATGCGAATGATGATTTTGTTGATTTGCCGAAGAATTAATTAAAATATTATCACCATTGGTACAACGTCCATTTTTATTATTTTGACGATGATGCCATCCGCCATGAGTTCTTGAAGATTGTTGCGAATGTTTGCGACTGGCATAATAACCACCATTACTGCTAGTACTACTGCTACTACTACTGCTACTGCTGCTGCTGCTGCTACTACTACTGTAACTACTTCCACTGCCGCCGGTACTAGATGTTGAAGTAATGTTAAAACTATTATTTGTACTGTTAGGTGGTGAAGCATTTAACAATGACGATGATATTGAAGATGGAGGTGATGATGATGTCGTTGTAATACTGACGGAATGATTTGTACCATTTCCAATACGTTGTTTTTGTGATGCCATTGTAGATGGCGATGTTGTTGTTGCTCCTCCGGCAGCCATAATTTTATTATTGTGCGAGTAAGTCATTCAAAATATATAGAATTTATTAAAGCAATTCTTTTAATGATTTTTCTGTTTAGATTTATAAAACAAAAAATTGTATTAATTAATTTATATCACACACAATTTTAATTATATATTTATTTATTATATATGTTTTACTTTGCTATCTTTTTCTGAAATGCTTTTTTATATAATTAATTGGTTTCATTAAATATAAACTGATTTTTTAGCTGCTCTATTAAGTTATAGGTATTACGGATTTTTAGCTATATATATATTGTAACTTATTGTTTTTTTATTTTTAATTAACACACCCTTTTTAATTTATTTCTATTTTATATTAATATTTTATGAGTATAGGAAAATTTTATTATATAAATTTGAGTTTTTGTTCAACGTTCAAAATTTTTTTTCAGATTTTTTTTATATATGTTTGTAGTTCTTTCTTATTTATTTATAGGATTAATTAATGTTGAAACAAAAAAAACGTTTTTATTAGCTTTTTCCTAATTGATAATTTTCTTTTATATATATATTCTTTACAAATTTATTTGATTGTATATATATATTATTATTATCTATTAATTTTAATGCTTTGAATTTTAAGAAATGCAATTTTTACTTTTAATTACTGTTTAAAATTTATGACTGTTCTTTTTTTTAATTGTATTTTTTTAACATTAAATTTTTTTAAGATAATCAGATCTCAGTTTGTTCTTTTAATATTTTTAATAATAATTTAGATTTTAATTTTCTTATAAACTTGAAGTTTATTTTGTCGCACTAGTATCACAGAATTTAGTGTTGACACTTTGATTTAAAATTCAATTATTAAATATTTAATTATCATTAAATTAAATGTTTTATATTTCTATTATTGAAGTTTATGTTTTATTTTTTTTTAATATATTAATGCGAAATTGAATTCATATATCCGGAAACAATGAAATTTTTATTAAAAATTTTATTGTTTGATATTTCTTAATTCTATTTTAAAATCTGATTATTTTTATTATTCCTATATTCTTGATTTATTTTAAAATGTTTTGCAAGTTTTATAACAATTTTAAAAGTTTGTACTAAAGGCGTTTTTTTTATTTTATTTTTTAAGATTATTTATTTAATTATTTTTAATCCTTTAAAACTGCATCTATAGCTTTTCTTTAAAAAAAAAATAAAAAGAAATAAAAAAAATAAATATTAATTGACCATTTTTTTTTTAATTTTTAATAAACAAATAAAATATATGAATTTACTTCCTAAATTTTATAAAAGTTTGAAAAATAATTTTCGAAAAATTGATTTTGTTTTAATAAAAGTTCAATGTTTTTTTTTTGTTTTAAGGCAAATAGACCCATATATTAGACCTACTACATTTTTGTCACTATTATCAATAAAAAATTTTCGTACGTCTGAATTGTATCTTAAATGTTAATGTTCACTGGTAATTTAGGAATATCGCACATTATAACTATGTTATTTTTTTATTAACAATATTTTTAAAAATTAAGCAAACAGTTATAACATCTAAACAGCAGGGGGCCTTTCTATGCAATTCGATTTTCATGAAACAATTTTCATATTTGCAAAAATGGAAGGACAATATCAACGATAGTTAATCAAATTACATACTAAGCACCCAGCACATATAAAGGTGTCCTAGTCGTTTTTTTCCTAATCAGGTACCCCTGTTACTATCTACATACTTACTTACTTGCTACTAAGTAAAACTTGACATAAAAGTACAGATCGAATGTTACAATCTAGGTTTGATATCAAGAACGTTCATCAAATAATTTTAATTAAATTACATGTTTATTCGATTAATTGGGACTTAATGATCCCATTTACTGTAAACCTTATTATACGATATTGCTTGTATAAATAAAAAACAAATGATTTTCAAAAAATTTAATACAAATATTCAAATAAATACATATACATATAACGAAAACATTAAGAATTAAAATATTTCAGGTGTTAAATTTTAAGGAAAATTTATTTCGTTTTAATTTATATTTTGTAACAAATAAGTAATTATGTACATATTTACGTAGAATATGTTCACATACATACATATTTAAGCAGATTTGAGAAAGTATTTTGAAAATTTATTTGTACAGGACGGTTTTATTTGTAAGACAAATTTAAGGATAGAAGAATGAAATTTTTTGTTATGTACTCTTAAGCCATTATTGAATATTTTTTAGAAAAATAAGTTTTCTTATTGTTTTAAAAAAATATTGAAAATAAATTTTCAATTTATAGGTATATTGTGGACAATATATGTATTTCGTGTATTCAAAATCATGGCTGTATAAGTAATATTTAAGTCGTGAATCCAAGTAACATACCTATTTATTTATAAAATTAAGTAGGTTCCTATCTATAATTTTATTTAATATTAATCTAGCTATGTACTTTATTGCAATCTAACGTTTTATATTTTTTATATACATACATAAGTATTATTTATATTATTCATTTTCAAATATATATGGATATGTAAATGTATACAAACGAATATGGCTGAAAAAAAAACCTGATCTATGTATAAATATAACAATTTTATTTATCGGAATAAACTGAGAATTACATTTCCTTTATATAAAAAATTCATTATATACTTTGGTAAATAATATTTATTTACATAAATATTACACAAAAAAAAATTATATACTATGCTTATAAACCTTTTTGCCCTTTTTTTTCCTCTAAAATAAAAAATGAAACGTTGCCAATTTTATAAATATCTTATATGCATATGTAAAGTAATTGTTTACATACACTATTAAGTCATTATAAAAGTTATAAAGTTTATATACAGAAACAGTATACTTATCTTGTTTCTATATATGTACATATAACTAAACATCTGAACAACTGAATGTAAATAAATAGATCTATATTTTATATTTGATAAAAACTGACTTAAGGGGTAAGGAAATTATATTTATATATTTACAAATGTAGTTGAGTTTATATACTATATAATTTAATTGCTATATACATGTGATTATATAAAAATGACGATTGAATTTAATTTTTATGAAATGTTTGCCATGAATACAATACGTTTTCTCTTTCTCACTGTAATTTTTTTCTCTCTTTCTCACTATAGCACTTCTATATTCCACCATTCATATAATAATAAATTATACAAACATACATACTATTATATATGTTGCCTTTTTATTTTTTGTATCTATCTTTATCTTTTTCATTTGATTTTGCATTTTTTTAACATGTAATTTTTTTTTTTGTCAAATTTGTGGCACGAAAAAATAATATGAGCAAGTAAATATTTTTTTTTTTTCGAAAATTATTTTTTTTTTTACTTTTATATAAATAAAGCAAATAATGTATTAATAATTTATGTTATATGAACTTATGATGCATAAATAATAAAATTATGGTAAAATTTCATTTCAATATTAAATTTTCTACACAATTTTAATTTTTTCATAATCATTTTAAATATGTACCATTTATGTATATTTTTTATACGTATTAATTGTATATGTAATATGTTATACACAAATCGCCTTATATATTTACAAAATACATAAATATATTATATGAAATAACATATAATACACATGTACATACATATCTCCCATATTATAAAATAATTTTTTCTCAATTACCTATTATTTTTCGAAAAAGAAATTTTTTTTTCTATTCCTGGCTATTTTGAAATTTTCAATTTTTCTTCACTTTATTTTTGATATTAATTTTTATAAATTTAAAAATTATTTGAAAGTGCTCACAAAAATCACTTTGAAAACTTATTTATAAATTTATATTTTTCTTATTATAATTTTTTTTTTTTAAATTTAAAACTTAAAAAAAAAATTAAATTCTTTTCCAAAATTTTTCAACTTTCTCTTCTTTTCAATTTTGAATTTTCTTGCGTGTTACGGATCTATTAATTACTAGCTTGTAAGAAATTTGATTTTAAAAATAATTTTTCAACAAACTAAAAAAAAAAAAACAAATTTTCTTTTTATCTTCCTATACAGTTAACTTATGAAATAAACGTCTTAACACAACGAACTCTCTCGTAATTATACCATGCAAATTCAAAAAAAAAACCTATTTATATCAGAGAAATATGTATGTAGTTTTGTTTTATTTTTACTTTTTCATAAATTTGTTTATTTTAATGTTGGCAGTATTGTAGTTTCAATATTGTACAATGTTACCATGTTGCCAGATTTATTATATTTTTCGAAGGCGTGCCAGATGTCCAGATTTATTACTCAAAATGCCAGATATTTCTCATTACCTGGCATTAAAAAATAAAAAAAATTAAACGTAATTTAAATTGCAAATGCAAAACGAACTTTTTCTATTATAAATAACAATAAAATCAAATACAGAAACAAACTATCAACAAACACATTAAATGCAATAAAATACTACTCCTCCACTATTCAACTTGGCAAGTGTTCAGCACGTTGAATCGTTAGTAGCCTAATTGTTCAATAAAGTTAAAAAGCTTGTCGAAAAATGAGAATGTATCCGTAATTCTAAAAAGTAAATGTCATTTGTTAAATAGTCTAATGGCGTTTTTTTTTTACTTCGAAGCAGATTCAGTTCTTTAAAAAGTAGATTCGATTTAGTTTTTTGCCTTAAATTGTTCGGAGCTAAAAATTTGTATTTCCTTTTACGATTACAGCATGCTGACTACGACTTGCTTGAAAAAAAATTTTCATATTTTAATATATTAGTTAAATTAGATTACAAATTTTGAAAAATTGTTTAATTATAGAATAATCGATACATTACATAATTTTCGCGGCGAAATGTGAAAATTCATATAGAATACACATAACGTATATAAATAAGATCGCCCAGAATAAAGCGAATAAAATAGGCAAGAATCCTATTTGACAGTTTTTGTTTGTCTCCATATTGTGTATATGGTAATATATGAAATAGTGAAAGGTAGATTTTGCCGTTTAGCTGTTATTTCGAGTTAACAGCAAAAATTATATGAATATAAATTGAATTATAACGATTTTTTTCTTTATTGAAAATTTTTAAAACGGCATTTATTTGCTATATAGAAAATTTTATTAACATAACATTTGAACTAAAATATAAAATAAATAAAGTTTTTTGTTTAAATTTTATTTAATTTTTTTATTTTTCTAAAATAAATTTATACACATGTTTTGTTTTTTTTTTCCCGTTTTAGTTTTTAATGTATTTCTGTGGTATTCTATGCATTTATAAATTAAATTATAATTACTAAAATTAATTATATTAAATGTTTTTGTGTAATATTATTATAACACATACATAATAATTTTAAATTAAAATCGACAATTTTTTAAGTATTTATAAATTATTCTATGTGTACCTAAATAGTTTACTATAAATACTAAAAAATTAAAGTTATAGATAGATAACGTAACTAATATTGCGTGATTTATCTGAATTCAATTTAATACGGTAAAAGTTTAAGTATCTTCCTGTCTATTATTTTATTTTACTATATATACACCTACATAAGTATAAAAATTCTTTTTTATGAAAAATACCTTATTAGTAAGATTCTAATAATTTTAACTAAGAGAATAAATATTTTTTTTCCATAAAAAAATAAGAAAATAATTATGATTTAGAATTTTAGTTATTTGGATGAAATAATCAAAAAATTTGGTATACCAAAAAGGTTTTAGGTAATTTTATAGCAGGGAATATTGCGTGATGTATTTCAGAGGCAAGTGCTTCTTAAATTTCTTTTTAGAAATTTACCTATTATCGCATTATTTAATATCGATTCAGATTTTATTATCGATAAGTCATTAATAATTTTCTTTAAATTTAAATATCTGTTTTGATTAAATTAAAATTTTTAAATAATAAATTTGCGTTTAAGTCTACGTTACTATTTAATTAAATTCCAATGATACAAGAAATTTTATGAAAACTCTTTAGTCACAAAAACTACCTGTCGATCAAGCATATGAGTAACTAAAATGTTTAAAGTTATACCTTAAAATGAAATGAATTCAATAATATTTTTTTTCAAATAAATTGAAAATTTCTATAATATGTCAGGGAGTCGCAACTGTATAAAGAACAAAAAATTTTATAATTATTTTAAATAATATTGAACAAAACACAAAATGAAAATGAAAAACATAAAATTTTTAGATTTCATCTTATTTTAATTATTGTAATTTTTTTTATATATAATAATAATATAACACTGTAAATATAATCTTAAATACTTAAAGAAAATTTAAAATAATGAGAAGTTATCGATTTTTTAATTTTTTAAATTTATTTTTTTTTTGTTTTATAAATACTTAAAAAACCAACGATTCAGAAATAATTAATGTTTTATATAGAGCCAAGTATATATAAAGTATATATATAATATATCTTACAATTCGAAAAAAAAAAAAATAAAATAAATATTGTTTTTTTTTTTGTATGTTTGTTTGTTAAAAAGGATACCATATCCTTTTTTCGAATTAATTTCTATAACATATGAAATTTTTTATTGCAAAATTTACTTACAAAAAATGAAAAATAAAAATAAATATATATATATGTATTTATAAAATTTATATTTCACTTTTATTCTTAACACTTAAGAAAGCAAGAACAAGTATAGAAATTTTTAATAAAATTTTAATTTTCGTAAAAAAAATTTAATTATTTTAATTTCTTTAACTGAATTATTTTTTTCTTTTTTTGATTTTTTTACGTGTGTATCCTCCCATGCCTAAAGCGTTCTGTTATAGAACGCCGCCCCACAATATCTTTAAAACATTTTAAGTTTCCTTAACATAATTTTTCAAAAATGAAAATTACATACATAATTTTTGATTAAAAAATATCCTTAGAAAATATACTAAATTAATAACATAAAAATTTTTTTTTTAATAATATTTTGATTTATTTTTTTAATTTCAACAAGACAGAAGAAGTCATCGGAAGAGAAATATTAACTTTTTTATAAAAATTTTTTATTTCCACTTGACGAGATATAATCTATTTTAAACCAAATTATTAATCATTAGTAAATTAATTTTAAAAATAAAAAAAATATTGATTGAAAAGATACAGGAAAAAAATATTACCTGTATTATTTATTTAGTATGTTAAATAAATTTTTTATTTTAACTGTATTTAACATATTTAAAATTTTTAATTTAAACTTTAAATATTTTATGTAAATACCCTGAGAGAAGGTAATAAGTTAACTGGTGTGATTAATGGTAAGGGCTTTGAATTTTTATTTATTTATATATAGTTAAGATTAGTCATTACTTTTATGCTTATTAAGATTTCCAATAAGGATATAGAAAAATCGGATAGGATTAATTTATAGTTTTTTTTTCTTTTGACTCTAAATTATGAAATCGGCAATAATTTTGTAAACTTTATTTATGATTTGAAAACATAATAATTCGTAATTTTCAGAAAAAAAATAATAATTAGTTTTGACACGATTATAAAAAAAAAATGCAACCTCATATAAACCAATCAGAATTACGTAATATTTTCTAAAAATGTCCCTTAATTTTTATTTTAATCAGTTTAAGTTGCAATTTTTCTTGTTTCTGTTATTAATATCTTGTTCTTTAAGGTACCAAACCAGTCTTCATATGTATATAATATATTAATTAATTTCATTTTTATTTTAATATATGTATAATTTTTTTTTTTAGTTTTCCAACTGCCACTTTTGAATATAAAATCAAATTACTTCAAAATAAAAAGTTAAATATATAACTTAAAAACAAAAATGAAAGCAATTATAGAAATAATATTATTTTTGTCATCCCGCAATTAGTTTTGTTTTTTGTAGTTTACACTATTGAAAATTATTTTTTTACTTATTTATATACTTTAATTTTTACGCATGATACGCTAATGGAGTTTTAATTTTTTTGCTACGTGGTCCCAAATCCTGTTCGTCATCCTCAGATGTTTCTTCATTTTCTGATTTTATTTGACGTATAATAGCTTCAGGTGGATGCTCTCCAAGCGCAAATGTGTCTTTGGCCCTCTCAAGTTGGCGAACTAAAATATAAAATATATGTATATATTATGTATGTTATATATGTAAGCTTAATTAGATTTCTGAAATAATATAATTTAATATTTTCATGTTGATGAATACATCTGAATAGAAATAATACTGCAAAGAAAATTTTAGATTCTTTAAAATTTTCAACTTATATTTTACCTATTACTATAGAAATAATCATAACTCTAAAAAGTGGCATATTACATTTTCAGTTTTGTAACGCAACTACTTCTAATTTAGTTTGCAAAATACCTATTTTTGTCTTACGAAATACTTAAGTCTAACATCAATTATCATGCCAAAATATAATTGCACATATTTATATGTAGATAAGATTAGTCATTATTTTTGTGCTTACTAAAGTTTCCAATAAGGAAATTGAAAAATCGGATAGGATTAAATAAACTAACAATGAGACCAAAATAGTTTGAATTTGAATTGGAGGCACACAACATCACAGCCATTGAAACGTTCAACCATTTCCTTATTACACAACGTCTTGTAGACTACTCACGTATTGAAAAACAGAAAAAACTCCTCTGAATACACTCAATCCTAAAAAAATCTATAGCTTGATGTTATAACCGAGCCCAACACGCATATTCTAATAGAGGTCTATTTTAGATCTAATTAGAGATTAAGCCTAATAAAATAAGTGTAAATCTTTAACAACGAAGATGTAAGGACACTGTTTTGTTCACCTAATCTAGAATTCACCTTAATTTTACAATATGGATTAAAAAGAACTCTGACATACAAAAGGTAAACAAATTTTATTATTAAGGCTAAACTTGCTAAACTTGATTTATATTTAGAAAAATGTTTTTGCACAAAAAAAAAACTTATGTATGCAAATTTTATGTTGATTCAAAAGTTATAGAAATATTGAAAAATAAAAATGGGAATAAGAGAAATAAAGTACATGCATACTAATATTTCGATAATGAATCAATTATTATCAATAATAGATTGGCAAGAATTACAATCATTATCATAAGCACTACAGATATAGATCTACTTAGCAAAACAGATTATATTTTCCAATATCTTATTTAAATATAATAACATATTATGGAGGTTATTTTTTATATTGCATATTAAATTTTTTTTTTCTGATTGCTGAAATGCAAATATGTATACTCAATAATCACAATATTAGTTAAAGCATTTATGTACATACATAATGGCTGAAAACAAAGGCAACTGATTTACAGTTTTTTGGAATCTAACTTAAAACAGAATAATGTTTGGAAATACCAATATTATATAAGTATATGAAGTTTTTTAAAAATTTTGCAATTTACGATATACATATTAATAAAAGCATATAAAAACTATATCCAATAAAAAGTTACATTTAATAAAATTACTTTGAGTTTCTAGAACGTTATTTTGTTTTTTGAGATCATCAATGTCTTGTTGGTGGGATTGGTTTTTTCTTCTCATAAATTGAATATATTCTGCTGCTTTTTTCAATATTTGTGCTCGGCTCGCCTAAAATTATAAATCAGTTAAAAATAATGTAAAAAAAAATTGTTTTTAAATAAAATTGTCTTACCTTTTCGCCCTGTAATGATGGAACCGCTTCTCGTAAACATGTAAAACTGTCTTTTATATGATCGCGTCGTTTACGCTCTAATGCATTATGGTGGGCTCTTTTCTCTGCCTGAATTCAAGAAAAATCATATAGCAAAATAACATATATTATATTAAATATCTTAATAATATAAAATTTTTTAATCATAAGTTAATTTTATTTGTGTTTCAATATCTAAACTGAAATTTTTGATTTAAATTTTCTTATTTCAAATTATATGAATAAATAGGTATGTATGTATATTATTTTTCAAAAAAAATGTATATGTATCCATTAACTTATATTTGCCTAAAATTTAGTATAATTATTGTTTAAACGCGATCTTGACTACATAGGGCTGTTCATATTTTTACTTACTATGGAAATGAGTGGCATCATATTTTGCAAAATATACTGGGGAGGGTATGTACATAGTACAGTAAATCATATAGTTATAATAAATATACATACTAAGTATATATGTTTGTACATTATTTTATATCACTATTGTCAATCATTTTTTATTTAAACATAAAAAAATATGTGACTCAATCAAGAGTAGAATTTATTAGAAAAGTTTGAAAAAAATTATTGTTTTACTTCCAACTATATTTTTTGAATTGAAAATAATAGAAAATTTGGAATTAATATATGAAATATCATAAGTATATGCATGCAATATAAAATAGGGACCAGAAAAATTAAATAAAAATACGTATGGGTGGAAAATAAAAAAAAAACCAAACTGAATTCCAAATAAGAAAATATGTATTATTTTTATGCTATGTGTATGTATGTAAGTTGCCAGTATGACACTGGAACTCATTTACAGTCTAATTAGAAAATAAATCTTTTCGTTAGTTTTGAAAAAATCATAATTTATTATTGTGACCAACTATGTACATTTGAATAACTTTCTATTACCAATATTTACTTTTATTGAAAATTTCAAATTTTATGTTTCATTCATGACAATATTTTGTTTGTTATTATGTATAAGGTCTTGTTGTTGATTTAGAAAAAAAAGCAAAATAGAAACGCACATGACACAAACACCAACACAGGCTCTTTATTTAAAAAAGAAAATAATAAAAAACCTTTCCTTTTTATCAATTAAGCCAGCAAACATATATAGAACACTACCACCAACATGCATACACACATTTTTTTTCTTCTTTCTTCCTCGTATAGAACTAAAAAAAAAATTTTGCATGCTTATTTCGTCCACGTGACATTTTGACAGCTTCTAGACAGAGATAACAATGTGTATCAGCCAATCACAAATAAGTGTGAGAGCTCAAAAAAGAAACAATAATATAATAATATGAAAAAAAACATGGCGTAATGAGTAATTACTACATTAATGAAAAAAAAATTCCTACTCTCTTTTGACAATAATACATGGAAAGCAACAACAACGAAATGTATAAAAAAAATATTTACGTAGTTAAAATAAGATTCAAAAATATTTCACTTTTTTTCTTCAAAAATTTCAAAATTTAAATTTTTTTAGAGTTTTACCTGAGAAAAACTATGACTGTTTCCATTTCGTTGGGGTATTCTTGTACTATCCGAATCATTCTCTTCCTAAAAAGGGGATAATTTTTTAAAAATTTTTTTTTGTCTTTCTGCTATATAGGTGGGTGATATACATACATATATACGTATGTATATATACGTGCTTTAAAGAGCAAAAATAAAAAAAGCCAATGACAAAAAAAAAATTTTCTTACTTCACTTTCATCCACTTCAATGTCTCTATCATCTTCACTCATAATTTGTAGCTTTTTTCAATAAAAATATTTTTTGCAATTTTCTTTTAGCTTACAATAAAATTAAAATATTATTTTTTTTAATTTTTTAAAATTATTAAATTTCAATTCCCCGTTCTTAAAAATTAAAACAGCACAATAAAAAAAAACTATGACCGATAACCACAGGTACAACTATAATTCCAATACAAAAATTTCATCAAGCAACTAAACTCTACTATTTAGCCAGCATGAAAAATAACAATAATAAACATGAAAGAGAAAGCATAATACAAATAACAAATTTGTATGAGGGAGACGAAAAGGTAAATGTTTTTTGCAAGGCCACGCTGCATTATATATATAAAAGTATTGCCAACTATAAATTATTAAAGATTTGTCAAATATTAGATATTTCCGTAGAATATGTAATTAAAATATTGCTTCACTGCATTAAAGAAAGCAATTTGCGTTAAATAAGTAAATGCTAGCGCTTGAATTCGCTTGAATATGTGTAGGTATAAGAATTGTGAAACTTACGAATGCAATTTGTGAATGCTACTTTTTGGGTTGTTAAAAAAACTACTGACAATATAATAACGGCAAAATAATTAACTTTACTGTGGTCATGTATATTTTTTCCTAATGTATACATATATTATACATTACATAAATGTATGTAATGTATACATATACATAAAAATTGTGTAACCGTCGAAAATATGTTGCGAATTTTAGTTTTCATTCATTTACTTCAGTTCAAGAAGTCAAAAAATTACTTAAATTGTATCTTTATTGCATCTTGATTAGTCTTGCTTAAGACATTGTTAAAGATTTTAAAGTTATAATAAAAAAAACTTGGGTAAGTAAAAATTTCGTGAAAATTCGTTAAAATTCTTAGAGCTTAGAAACCTTTGAGGTTTGGCACCCAGTCCGGAACAAATGTTTTATCCATTTTCGATCCTCTAACCAATGGTATGTTGTTGTATACCTTTCTGAATCACCCTGTACATATACAACTCAGGTGCCAAAAAATACGGGTATTTCTAGAAGGGCTAGAGACATGGGAAAAAGGCATTAGATAGGGTTCTTCTAAGGTCACAGAAAAAGCATTATGGTGTTGAAAATATTTATTCAAATAAAAACATATTAACATGAAAAGGGAATCGTATTTTTGGATTAGTTTTTCCAATGGTTGGTAATACTTTAAATGGAATTATTTTATTTAAAAAAAAAATGATTCTCGATATCAAATTGTCAAAATAATAGACATTAGATTAGATAGGTCTATTGCCAAAATATGTTTATTTTTGTTAATTTTTTAAGAAGCATATAAGATTAAAAAAGATTAGAATATTGAACATTAATTATTGTGAGAGCACTATAATATTTAAAATTTATTGTTTATAAGATAAAACTTAAAAGCAAAATGTTAAATAGCACGAAGCTTTTTGTGAATAAGGATTTGATTAGTTTTATTTCCATAAATTTACGTAATATAAGTTTAACCACATGTAATAAAAAAAGTTCAATTTTTGTTAAACCTAAACCGGGATGTGGAAAACAATACCGTCGAATTATTCATTTTCCTGAGGAATATACAGTGGAACCATTAAAAACAACTCATTTAGCTGGACGTGATCCTGAATCCGGACGGGTTATTGCTAAAGGAATTGGTGGTGGCGTCAAACACAAATATCATTGGATAAAATGGGTTAGAGATGGTCCAACTGAAGGTAGTTATTTTTTTATGTAAACAAAAAATAAAAATAAAAAATTTACAGGACCTCCCAAACATGAAAAGGTTTTAGAAATTATTGATGATGGTTGTAGGACAACTAAAGTTGCGCTAGTGGGAACTGGTGATGAACTAAAATATATATTGGCAACTGAAAATATGAAACCTGGTGATATAATAAAAACTTCGAAATTTATACCACGTATACCAGTTCGACCAAATGAAGGTGATGCATATCCTTTAGGCGCGTTACCTGTTGGTACTAGAATACATTGTTTGGAAAAAAATCCTGGATATCCCTGTCACTTAATACATGCGGCTGGCACTTTTGGTACAATTTTAAGGAAATTCGACGATAAGGTTGTTGTGCAATTGCCATCAAAAAAGGAATTTGCATTTGAAAAAATATGTATGGCAACTGTTGGTAGACTTTCGAATATAAATCATAACAAGGAACACGTTGGAAGCGCACAAAAAATGCGTGAACTAGGAAATAGGCCTCGTTCAGGCCTCTGGAAACGAAAAGATGGTCGTCATGGTAGGAAAATACGTGCTTTACCACCGATGACAACAATTTCCGGCCCCGCTGTTCAAAAAGAAGAACCGATTAAATTGACTTTACGAAACCTTTAAATCTTATTCTTTTTTATTTTACAATTTTTAAGTATATGAAAAATTAAACTTAAATGAAATATTAAGACTCCGATCAAAATATAACTGAAGCCTACAATTTAAGTAACATTCAAAACACACCAAAAAGCTATTAAAAATAATACTTTAATTTTTAATGTCAAAATCGCATTTTATTTCAAATAAGACGCTTGAAATTAATACATATTAATTTTGTAAACATAAAAAACGAAGAACGTACATTTATATAAAACCATTATATAATAAAAAGGATTACGTATACTTTAATAAACCAAGTGAAAATTATGTATATTAGTCGTGTATAAAACTACATTTGTTAAGCGTTATGATTTTTAATAATATTATGTTGTTGTAATCTTGGCGATTGCCTTAAACCTAAAGCAGTGGTGGCTCGAGCAGGAGTTCGATTATTTCCCATGACACCACGATCTCCCATTTTTTTTATATTGTGTCTTGGTGAACAGTTCAAATTCTTTTTCGTTCGCGGTGTTGTACTTTTCCTAGGACTACACCTTATTGTATTTTTTTCAATATTCCTTAACAGGTTATTTTTAGTATTTTCTTTTACTATTATTGAAGAACTTTGAACAGTATTTTCCTTCATTATATTTGATAAAATTTTTTTATCAGGATATTTAGCCATTAGCAGTTTTGGTCGCTTTTGTATATAACCAGGGCTTTTTGAATTATTTTTACGTCGAGGTGTTTTATTTTCGCGTGTAGAGCTTTCAATTTCATTGATTTTTTCGTTAATTTTATACAATTTTGTTTCATTTGCTTCTTCGAACTTTTTAATCGCAAAATAATTGCTTTGTCTACGGTTTTCCGTTACAGGTGTGTTGTTTGATTTTGATAGTGGCATATTTAATTGAGTTTGATGGTGATCCATATCGTTAAATAACTTTGCTTTGGCTAATACCATACCAGCATTTAAAGCACGTAATCTTGCTATAGAAGCTCTTCCAGATGGATTTTCTTCAATAAAAGGAGAAAACAATGTATTTTTGGAATTAATTTCGGTGTTTTTCTTTTGAGAAGAACGTAAATTCGATCCTGGAGTTTTCACACCTCTTTTTGGAATACTTCGTGGGGGAAGCATTGGGGTCTTATCTTGTGTTTCCATTTTTGTAATTGGTGTAGTTAAATTTGATGATAGAGAATTCTTCTTGAGTGAATGTTCCGAATGAACTATAGAAATTTCCGAATTTCCTTTAATTGGAGTTTGTAACAAAATATCTATAAAATTAATAAAAGGATTAGATATCTATCTTATTTAACATTTGTATATACGTATTAAATCTTAGTTAATTACCATTATTAAAAAAAGATGCCCCATCAACCCACTCCTCTGTTAGTTTATCTTGAGTAATTCCATTGTTTGATGTAAATTCCGTTGATTCATCATAATTTTTTTTTTCATTCTCCATATAATTTTGTATTTCTATTGGAAAATGATTAGGTTCGTCTTCTTGTTTCATTTCTTCTGAGGTATGAATATTTGCAATAGTAATGGGAGTATGCAATCCTGATTGAACTGTGTTCGGACGACCACGTTTTAAATTAGCAGTCGCTCTTGGATAAAATGAAATTCCATTTGAAGGTATATTTTGAATATTGTCATTTGTTGAGCTTATGTGCCATGTTGCATTTCTTGAAAGGCGAACTTTTTCACGAGAACGTCGTCGCATTGAACCTATTTTTCTTGCACTGGGGGAACGAATAATACGTTGTTCGGAGCTTCGACGTATTTTTAAATCACGACTTAATCGTTTAGCCAGTTGATCAGTTGAAGTTGAAATTATATTTTCAGTTTCCTCCATTGTTTTCTCGAATTTAGTTAAAACTTTCTCAGGACCGGTCATTTCTTTTTGACAAGATATCACACAAGGTGGCGAATTTCCATCTAATTTATTTAGTTTTAAGGAGTTTTGAACGAATTCAAATTCTTGAGAAATTCTTTTCTCTATGGTTTTAACCCTTTCTTTAATGGCCTCATATTCAATTTTTGGAACACGAACATAATCGATTGATTTGTTTTCATCACTTAAAGATTGTGTATTAAGCGACTGATCTGATTTTGACAGATTTGATTCATCTTGGTCATCAAACTTAGGGAAATCTAAGTTAGGAATGTTGGGCAACGATATTACAGGAGATAAGGTCTTAAGATTTTCTTTTTTAGACAAAACATTAGTTTTTTTTCGTGTCCATGCTGAACCAACCACACTCCAACGTCTTTCAATAGAAGATAAAGACGACTGACTAGCAGCGGACGAAACATGTTTCACACTTTTTTTTCCACCCATGCTAATACGAGTTTTTTTTATTTCTCTAATATGGAAAGAAAACATTTTATATAAAAAGAAAAAGCTGTAAAAATGCAAAATCTTACTTTATACACATTGGAGTATTTGGCAAAATATTCCCGTCTGGAAAAAGATTCAAGAATTCTTTCCTGTTGAAAAGAAAAAGACATAAAAAAATTTTATCTATATTAATTTTTAGTCAAAGGTATGTATACTTTTTTTTAGTGCTGAAACCGGACACTGCTTCAACCATTTTCCTTTTTTTATTTGATTTTGAAATACATGGAGTATTTACTACTGTATTTTCAGGAGTATTTTCCGCATTTTCAGGCGAGGAACTGATTGCTCCAACAATTTTCTTGATTCCATTAAACATTTCTACAAAAAATTTCTGTATAGGTATAGAGTTAGACATTGATCATAAATTTTAACAAACTATTTAAAGATCCACTGCGACGTTTCTTTTTCTTTTTATCAGTAAAACTCAAAATAGAAGACGTCTCCGCAACTGACTTCATTGGAGTAATGTTAGTAGTTAGTTTACAAGCAACATCATTCGGCAATATACCAATTGAATCTGCATTTTGTATTAGTAATTGCATAATTTTTACGTGGTTGTTAAATCTTATAGAATTGATATCATTTGATGGCATCAATCCAGGGGTAAATATAATGGCCAAATTTGATATTGTCATTTTATTTTGCTCCGAAAATGTAGAAACCTTATTTAAAAACTGCATGAAAAAAGTTAGAGTATTCAAAGTTAACGGTGGTAAAAGTAAACATCCTAGTAACATAGCTTTTAATTTTCCTTCTGCTAATAGATAACCCCGTAAAAGTATTTCCTGCAAATGCCCTGGTATAAGAGGATCTGGTAACTCACGGAAAAAAGCTTTTAAAACATTTGCAATATCAATAACATGATAACTCTTCGAAAGAGGTAAACCATTTTCTAAATTAACCTTGATTTCTTTTTGCCTTAGATGAGATCCAGTTTTACGAAAAAGTCCTTCAATTTCTATTTGTTCACTTATTCTTTGGCAAGCTGTTGAGACAAACGATGGTATTTGTACCACACTACCATTAGTTAAAAGGACATCATTTAACTCCAATTGATGTAAGTGCACGTGAAATATACGCTTTCGACCACACTTTTCCTAAATATAAGAAATTAATTATATATAATATACATTACATTTTGTTTACAACGCTCAACCAATTCTCCACCTACTTGTACAAATTTGCTTTTCTTTTCTTTTCGATATTTTACACCTAGTTGTTTTAATTCATTTATTATAACCATTGATAATTCCTCTTTGTTAAAAACATCATTAACAAACATGTTATTTTTTTTTATAAATTGCTTTTCTTAACAATATTAATGATTTAACTTAAAATGGCACTTTCCAAAAATTTTATAGGTTTTGATTGTTTGTTAAACAGGCAAAGCAAATAAGCATAATACCAGATTTGTATTTTAAATATGTCAACGGCTGCCAACTGACTTTCTATTGAAATGTCATTATTTGCTTCGAGAGTTGTCTTGCCGTTTAAAGTTTGTACTTCAAATCAAATTGATTTAATCTAATTATAAGTTTTGTCTGGTATAAGGAAGTTTTTAAAAACCTTATAAAACTTGAAAAAACTTAAATTTTTTGTATGTAAAGCGCTGGTATAATACTTTTCAGCAAAAATAAGAGAAAATGACGGTGTTTTCATTTTCTCAATGTTTGAAATTTTTCAAGTTTTGTAAAGTAAAATTTAGTGTTTTAAAAATTTATAAAATCTTAAAGCTGACAAAACATATGTTTTTCTTGGTCATGTCAAAGGTTTTATTTTTCAAAAAAACTTTTTTTTCATTTACAATCATTTTTTTTTTAACTTTTTAATTAAAAATTAAATAAACAAAATGAAATCACTAGTGGTTTTTCTAAGTTTCACACTTTTCAAAATTAGAAATCAAAATTTTTGGTTTTTAATATAACCATAGCATCGAGAACATAACGTCAGTAAATAAAGAACTGTCTTAGTGTTCCGTGTTCTATAAAAATCCCTTAATTGATGCTGATGCTGATGTGCAGATTTTAATATTTTATTTTTTCTGCATCATACGAGTATTATTAAAATTGATATTTATTTAAAGAATGAAGAGCAGTGAATTCAGATTTCAACACATATACATATATCTTAAAATACTATATAGAAAAGAAAATAACTAAATATATTATATTTTTTAAAGAAGGCTTTTGAAAATATTGACACTTCTCCTACATAATAATATTTAATTTTGTTTCTCTCACATAATAATTGCAATTTTGTTACTTAGTTATATAAAATTTTTCCGTAGCAAAATAATACAGAAAATTACGATATATACATATATATATCATGTTTAAATTAAAATTACAAAGATTTTATACAAAATATCTACGAGGAGGATTGCAGTTTAATTTCTTATTTGACATTCACCATTTTATAAAGTAAGATGTAATAGAAAAACATACACATATATAAAAAAAATTAATTTTACCAAATTGGCAGTTATTGAAATAAAAACAAAATTATCTGGCATCACTTCTTATATGGACTATTTATTTTGTACATGTGTTCATTTTTTTTTTATTATTTTTTGACAACTAAACTTGTTAGTAAATGTGTGTTGTTGTCATTGCATTGATTACAGTGATGAGTAAATTTTTTTTATAACTTTTTTGTACAAATAAAATAAATATTTTACGTAAAAAAATACAAAAAGGAAAAACAATTTCCAATTAAAAGTTTCGGGGAAAAACCATTAAAAGTGTAAAGTTAGAAATTATGGCGAAAAGAATTCATAAAATCGGTAAGTTTGGTCGAGAAAAGTTTTGTGTTAAAGCAAAGTGGAAATTAGTTAAATTTGCAAAAATATTTTGAAATTGTACATACAAATATTGTGAAAAAGGAATTTATTTTTTTATTTTTTTTTGAAAGTATTTTTATCAAGTGATAATAGAAGTGCGAATATATTATATTTTCTATAAATTTTTATATGAACTGTTGAAATTTGCGAAAAATATAAGAAAATGGTTTCAACATATTTGGATTTAGATACAAATGTGCTTTATGGTAATAATATTAAAAAAATAAAGAAAATAGTTACATAGATACATGCATACATACATACATATACAATTAATATTTATAATTATATTTTATAAGAACTTAAATTATATAATTAATTTTTTTATAAAAATAATATTAAATCCATTAAGAGCGTTTAAAAAAATTGGAAAAATATTCAAATTTTGATTAAAAAATAAATTAATTCATGCAATATTTTTTGAATATTCTTTGTTTACAAAGTGTGCGGCAAGTTTATTATCAAAAATATACATATGTATTTACACACAATTTGTGTTGGTATAGTGGTAATGCGAAAAATAAAGTGATTCAAAACGTAAAAACCCATTTTCATCAAATACATGCATACATTTATACATATACATACATATTTGTGTACGATAAACTATATCTCAAATGTAAATGCATATAGTATTTGAACCAGAAAATATTTTGTAATTTATTACAATAAACTAGGTACTTGTAAAAGAACCTTAAGTCCAAGTAAGTGTCCTACAAAGATTTACTAGGTATATTACAGTATGATACGAGTATTACAATTTTATGAAAATATTCATAAGACATAGTATGTAGACAGAGTACTTATATAGACCCACATGAAATTAATACAGTATTGACTTGTGGAATATTTTTTGAATATTGCATCTAACAATTTTTTACTTACAAAACAAGAAGGTGGGCGGGTAAAGTAGACACTATTAAATGTTTTTAATCATTTATAATTTTAAAATTCATATCTTAACGAGCTTTTTTGGGCAAAAATTACAAATTAAAAAAAAAATGAGCAAATGACTTGTAAGATGAAGAGTGAAGCTATTAATCTTATTAATTTTGTCAAATAGTTTGTAATTATTCTAAAATCTACAAGTTTTTTGAAATATGTAATTAATATCTTGAAAGCATACTTAACTATATTTTAGCATCTAAGTATAATATAGCTCATTTTCTTTTACAAATTTTGGAATGAAAATATATGTACATATATACATATACGTACAGAGACAGAACTGTTTTCATTCTTTAAAATTAAAAAGTAGATAATTTTTTTTTACATTTTTCAGAAAAATTTTACTAGAACATATACCACTTATATTTTAAACTTTAACTGTTTAAAGTAGGAGTTCGTATTCCTGTATGTATTTAAAAATGTACGCTTGTACAACAAAATCTATCCAAATTTATAAAAAAAAATTTTTATTAAATCTATCCAATGATCTACGGGAATTTGTTTTAGGAGGCCTAATTCAATGATGTTTTGAAAAATATTAAAATGTATGAGTATTCTATGATAGATCAAATACAATTTTTAAGTTTTTTGCCTTTGCAATTTTTTTTTAACGTGTTTGAATTTTTTTATAAGTACATATGTACGTACATATGTATGTAGTAAACTGAAATTGAAAAAAATCCCCGTTTTTTTTTAGTTCAAAAGCTATAATAATTATCAGCGATAATTTCCTAGAATTCAATTATAGAAAAAAAAATATGGATGACGCATACATACATGCATACATAGGTAGAGCATTTCATTGTTTAATTAAAAAGTTTTAAACAGAATTTATTTGCGTTTTGCTGTATAAAATGTTATTGTTATTTTAATCAAAGTATATTTACGAGTACTAACAAATAATTTCACTTTCAGCTTGCATAAATTTAGTGTTTTTTTTTTTTCACGATCGTACAAAAATTCCTGCAATTAAAAATGTTAAAAAATTTTTTGAAGGTGAATATACACTTATTATAGAGATATGTATGTACTTTGAACAAAATCAGCTCTTTTTTTATTTTTGATGTATTGTGTACACTTTGTAAGTGCTTCGCTTAAATGATTAAGCTTTAAAATGCGAATGTATTTTTATGTGATTCGAATTTTTCTTTTTTAATTTTTGGTTAAGTGTTCTGCGATTTGCATCGTAATTTTTTTAGTAAAACTTCACTTGTCATCTCTTTTAACTTCTAAAATGAAAGTGATCTCCTTTAACGTTTAGAATTAAATTTGAAAATTAAAATGATTATGATTGTGATAATGATTTTTGATTAATGAACTTGAACATGTATTCAATTTCTACAGTTGCGAATTTTATAATTTATGAAATAAAATTATTTACTTATGAGGTGTTAATATAATACTTGAATTCAAGGGTTAATTGTGTGAGTTTAGAAAAATAATTTATTATTCAATGGCATAGCATTTACCGTTAGCTTTCTGTAGTTATAGAAATTTGGAAAATTTCTAGAGACAATAAATTGAGAGGGGGTGAAAAAAAACTTCTAACAAAATTAACTATTTATGAATATATAAGAATTATTAAAATTCCAGATTTCTATAACCTTAGGTCTAGAAGAAAAACGATATCAAAAATTTGTAAAAAAACTAACTTTATGTAACGGTAAATTTTAACGGTCATTTTGTATTTTTAAATGGTATGCTGCGGTAGAAAAAGCCAGCTACTATTTTTCTGCGTAAGAAGAATTTAAAAAATGTTTCTGGTTTTGCTACAATAATTACTTAATGGCATTTTTAGGAATATAAGGGAGTATAACTTTTAGAACGGAGGAGATAGGTAAAAATTAAAAATTTCTAGGAAAGATTTATGTGTATGTACATACATATATAAAATTTCAGTTTTCTATTTTCAAAGTTGTACAAGTTTTTCAAACATGTCCACGGACAGGCAGAATGAAACTAATAAGAATTTTTTTGAAAATATTTTTTAAAAAGTACTTAAAGATATAAAATTAAAGAGTCAGTGTTATTAAAAATGTTTCTTTCTAAAATTGTTGTTATAACTGTATCATCTTCAGAAAGGCTGTAACTGTACTATTTAACTAAGCATAATGTTGAATTGACATTTATCTTGCCTTAAAAAATATTCTATACTTACTATACTTAGTTACTAATTAGTACCTATTTTACAAAAATTTTTTCGTTCGGATAATATATTTTTAATCAATCAAAATGTTTTATTAAAACATATAATATGCTAAATTGAAATGGCTTAACAGAATATTCCCCCCCCCCCCCCCCTTTTTTTTGACTGAAGGCGAAAGCTCAAAAAACATTGTTTAACTTAACGTTATGATTTTAACGTTCAAATATCAGTCCTTGGGTATTATAAAAGGAAGTAGTAAAGTTTTCTTGTATGTATTCGTAAGTAGATTTAACTAGATATGTATTCGTAAGTAGATACAACTTCAGGTTCATTTTACATAGTGCCAAACCTTTGCAGTTTGACAAAACTAACAAGAGTATATTTTTTCAATTGTATATTTGCAATTTAATATTGATCCAAAATGGAACTGAATTTTCGTAGTTTTACCGTTTTACGTAGAAATATAAAAAGATAAGTAAAGTTTTTAAATTAAAAACTAGGCAAGTAAAATAGAAGCAGTTTTTTTTTAAGAAAAAGCTTTTGAATTCTATAAAATTTCAAAATTTTTGCTTTTTAAAAAATTTGATTTTTAGTTGCCATTCATTAATATTTTGTTAGTAGTTTTGATATTTTTGAAAAAACTTTATGTAGTTTCATATTCCTAAAACTTTTAAAATACATAAGTACATACGTATGAATGTACACACGTATGTAGTTATGTATGTACAACACGGTATAGGAGCTGCAAAGTAAGAAATAAAGTTGCCTATAATGGCAAAATTTTATTCATATTTGTATAACAATAAAATTTCAATAGATTTTTTCTTATGACATATATATGTATATACATACATACACATGTATTTTTTTTTAAAATACATAATATCGTCCGAAACCGAGTATGAACCAACATACTTATACGTGTATACATACATATTTGTATAGGATAGAATTATATTAATGCTATTCTATAGTACTAAAAATAAAATTCCGAAATTAAAATTAAGATTTTAAAAAAATCACGTACCATGGTTTTAATTACATTTCCAAACTTCAGGAACTTATACTATACTTACATATATAGTTAATTTATATATATATATATGTATATATGTTGCACATAAATGTGTTTAAAGTTTTTAATAAGAAATTAATTATTCCAAGCAAACATTTTCTTATTTTCATTTATTCAATTTTTCGTAAATTCAATTTATGATTCTATAGTTGTTATGTATCAAATTTAATGGCTATAAGAAGAAGGGTTGGTCATACATCTTATAAATTTTCTTTGTTCCAGTTCATATTCGAATTGGGTATCACTTCAGCAATTGATTAGTTGCAGTAGTTTTTTATTACTCTATATATTACCAAGTGTTAATTACACATAATATTATATGCAAATATATATATGTACGTATGTAGATTACGACTATACCCAATGAATAATCTCTTACCATACGTTTTATGTACATACTTGAAAAAATAAAATACTTTTCTAATTAGCTACATACGTTATTTTAAATTTTATAGATGTTCTTTATTTACCTGTTATATTTCAAAATTTGCCATTTACATACAAACAGACATGCATACATAAATACATACATACATATATGTATATGTATTCTTTAATGGCAAAAGTTAGAATAGAAAACAACGATTTAAAAAGTTAAATATGCATTCTATATAATAGTAACAATACAACGGTACACTCGCATTATAATTTATTAAAATGATTGCCATTCAAATGATCCTAAAGAAAAACTTAAAACTGATCCTTTATTTTAAAAATGCCGATGTATCTACATACTCGTGGCATTCCAATATAATATACATAATTATACAGTCGAACACGAATATATGAGCAACACGTTTAAAAGCTTAACTCACTTTAGAGCAATCAAAAATCTAGTCACATTTTTTTTTTGTATACCTCTTTCCACGTAAATTTACATTCATGAACGTATAAAAATCACATTCATAATGCCGATAAATGTAAAATTCGGTTAAAAATAAAAAATATTTCCAAATTTAGAATGTTTTATAAAGATTAATCTTAACATTATTGAAAATGTTTGATACTCTTTACAATGACACATACAATATATATTATACAAGCAACACATATAATATACATATGTACTTATGTATATGTACATAGAGTACAATAAATTATTATAATTTAATTTTGATCGTTTGCAAAACTAACGTTATGTATATATGTAAGTAGGTGTGTAGGTTTGCAATAATCAACACTTTTTTAAAATAATATTGTAGATAAGATTTTTTTTAAAAGCATTATACACATAGCAACACACACACTTATTCATATTTATTTACATTTTATTATTTATTTTTAATAAGTGTATACTCCATTTTGAATGATTCTGAGTAAAAACAACATTGGCAAAATTAGAAGTTTTTATTTCAACTCAATTTTTCAAGTTATTGCCATTTAACTATAGGATAATTTGAAAAAAGTGCTTAAATTCTCATTTATATTTTTTTACAAAATTGTAAATATGTTCAATTGAATTAGTAATTTATTTTTTTTAAAGAAAAAAAAAAGGAGGAATGGTAGACTTGATCGCGTCAGTTCTGTGATACCCGTACGATTGAATGATTTGAGGAATTGTAAAATATTATCACATTGCCTCATGATGTTTAATGTATGTATGTACGTATTGTATGTACATTTCTACATAGTGATTTTTATTAAAACATTATTTTTATATTTGTGCTCAATTTTGATCTGTAGTTTGAGTGTTAGCTTAATTGAACAATTTTTGAAGATGTGTGGCAGCTATCACAATGAGTAATGCAATTTTAATGACTGTTATCAGCATAATATAGCTTTAATAGTATATTTATTTGAACGGAATTAAAACTATGTAGGTTCAGCGGTTTTTGAGATATAACAAAATAGCTTTTGAAGTTGTTTTGCAAATACTACAAGGTGTCATGCAATTTCAACGACTCTTTGTTTTGATTTACTTCTTTCTTTCGTTCGTTCTTTCTTTTTTTCTTGCTACATACTTTATTTTTTTTCTTTCATTTTTATTTTGTTGTAAATTTGTGATTAAGTTTAAAAAATTTTTATTTCTTTTTTTTTCTGTTTATGTATATGTATGTATAACAATAATAATAAAGGAAATGTACAGTAAACTCTTTTTTTATACGGTAGATTGGTTTATCAGAAAACATTGTAAAAAAATATACGCTTGTCATATCTAAATAATTGTTTCATCACTTACTCTCTAAAAACCGTGTAAGAATGAATAACAACCAAAATTTACTTACTCCTCACTTAAGTAAAAATTATAAATTAAATATTCATCAAACATTATAAACTAAAAAGTTTCTGAATTAATCTATTTTAATAAAAATGCTTCCCGTATATAATTAATTTGGAGTTATTTTTCAAAATTGTATGCTTGTTTAAAATGTAATAAATTACAAACAGCTAACAATACTTTCAAATTATACCAACATCAACTAATGATTTAGAAAATGAGCTTTTTAAAATATTTTTTTATTTGATAGCTAGCTGTACCACAAAAGAGACAAATTATATTCTACAAAATTTTTTTTTGTGCACCGTGTATTTTCAAATTTGTGTAAAAAATGGGTTGACTGTATATTAATTTTATATTACATTAATACGTATGTATACATATAAATTAAAACCAAAGTATATCTATTTGAAAAGAAGTTCGACTTTTTGTTTACATAACACTAATGCAATAACTTACCAATATTTGTATGCAAAAAATTCCCTTAGCTAAATGAGTTAACAAGGTCTGCCTTCTTATTTTCATTTTTATACACATAGCTATTATACGCAGCACATGGCAACTCATATTTTTATAATGTATTTTTAAAAGCGGCGGCACATTTTCTTACTTTTTCGTATATAAAGTATTGCGAAAAATAGGTATTAAGAATTTTAAAGGCGTGCCTTTTATTTCTGAAATTTATTCAAGTACAAGGTGATAAAAATGACATATCGAGAGTTTAAAATTTATTAAAATGTACTAAATGAAAAATAATACTTATACGTACTGAATTTTGAATTACGAAAATGTAGTAGAATTTAATAGTATAGAATTTAGTTATAGTAAAATATTAACCCTTACTTGGAACCAATCGAACAACTTTCTTAAATAGATATATGTAGGTATGTACATACCTACATTGATTAAAACTTAGGAATATCAAATCCAAATAAATAATAAATATTTTTGTTGTATGGTTATTCCATCCATGCTAAATATATATTCACACATTCATACGTAAAATTTTGTTTACGGTTATTTATTATGTATGTGAAACCAATACTAATAAGAATTCAATATTCTATACATATAATATGTATGTATGTATGATGTATGTGCAATATTTCAATATATTGTTTATTTTATTAATATAAAAAGAATTTTGCTTTCTTTTATTCTTTTAACCAACTTTAATGAAAGTAGACGCGTTACAATATATAGATACATTTATTTAAATTTTGAAATTAAAATATCTAATAGAGAAATTACAATTAATTTTTTTAATTTTTTTTAATATATTTCATATTTTATCATTATTTAAATAATAATATTTTTTACAATATCGTAAATATTAAATATTTATATTTACAAAAAAAAAATGAATCAATTAGATAGTGGATATTCATCTACATCACCAGGATCTTATAGCTCTGCATCATCTATGTCACCATCCCAATCAAGTCAAGATGCACCATATCAAGATTTCCAATCTTTGCAATTGACATCAGGTATTTACCTACATACATATGTACATAAAATATTTAAAAATTGAAAAATTTAATTAATTATTTTTTGATTTTAATAAATTTTAACATTTTTTTTTGTTCATTTAATTTCAGTTGTAAATAATTTTGGTGATATAGATCACGGAATTGATATAAAATATGAATTTGGTAAGTATGTTATATTGAATTGATGAGTTTAAGTAAGTAGTTTCTCGTATGTATGCAATTAAAATAAAAAAAAAAGAAATAAGGATTAAATTTTAAATTGTCCAAAATTTTTTAAAAATTTAGGAATTTTTATTTAAAATATTACATTTTTCAATTATTTCAATTTGTTTTTAATTATTAAACTATAAAATATTTATATAAAATATACTTATTAATTTTATATACATATATATATGTATATACAAAAACATTGCTAATTATATTTTTAAAAAATTTAAATATCTTTAATTTCGAGTTAAATTTCGATTATATTATACTTATAGAATTAATAATTCTGTTTATAATATCATTTAATAAATTCTTTAATAAAAATATGGTTAAAATAATGATGATTAATTCTTTATATTAATTTTTGTACATATAATATGTACATAATATGTATGTATTTAATAATTTCAAATTAGAAAAATTTAGCTTATCATAATATGTATTGATATTATAAGAAAATATTTAAAGAATGTAATTTTTATTTGAGAAATCGGAAATGAAGCTTTATCGTATAGAAGTGTTAGAACTACTAAAGAAACAAAAAAATATGCTATTTATATTTTTTATCTAAAGTGGTTAATATTTTTTAGTTTCAATTGCTTTCTTTTTTTTTCATTTTAACTAAGGTACCAACCGAAATTTTTTATTATTTAATCTAAATTTTAAAATCAATTAATACATATGTATATATTTAATATATATAATAATATTATATATATACAATATATATAAATATTAATTTTTATTTTTTTTTTTATTTAAAGTTAATCAACAAATTTCAACACAATTTGAACAACAATATCAATATTTAAATTTTCAAAATACAAATTGCAATACCATTAATCCATTAAATGAAGTTCAATTAGAAATTGTTGAACAACCAGTTAGTAAATTTCGTTATAGATATATATCAGAAATGAATGGTACACATGGTTCATTAATGGGTATAAATAGCTCAAAGGGTAATAAAACATTTCCAACAGTTGAATTAAAAGGTTTTAATGGTGATGCATTAATTCGATGCAGTTTATATCAAATTGATAAAAAGCAACCACATTCACATAGATTAGTTGTTAGGAAAAATGATCTTGATGTATCAGATCCACATGAATTAAGATTAAATAAAACAGTTGGATATCGTGCTGTGTAAGTTATATAATAATAAAAATAAATTACTCAATATTTAATTCAAAATATTTACATATATATATATATATATTTATGTGTATTTATTTTCATTATTTTGTTATAGTTTTCAGGGTATGGGTATAATACATACCGCTAAACGTGATATTGCCGATGAGTTATATCGAAAGAAAAAAAAATGGGCTGAATTTGAAAAAGGATGTGAATTGACATTAAAAGAAAATACAAAAGTAAATAAAAATTATTAATTTTTTATATTTGTAAAAATAAAATATTATGTACAATATGTATAATACGTATATATATATATATATATATATATATATGTAAATATTAATAATTTTATTTTTCATGTAGTTTAAAAGCGATTCAGAAAAGGAAGCCAAATTAATGAATTTGAATCAAGTTGTTTTAAGATTTGAAGCATATGAAATAAATAAAGATAAATTATTGAGACAATTATGCGCTCCAGTATATTCAACACCTATTAGTAATATGAGTAAGTTAATGAATTTTTTTGGCATTTATGTATATATATACATATATATGATATATTTTATTTAAAATTAATTTAGAATGTGCTTTAACTGGTGAATTAAAAATAACACGTATCAGTACGTGTGTAAGCAGTGCTGCTGGTGGAGATGATGTTTTTTTATTTGTTGAAAAAGTTGGTAAAAGTAAGTATCTCATTAAATGTTTTAAATTGATTATTAAACTGAAATTTCAATATTGATTTTTATTATTTATTGATTTTATTAATCTTTTAAAATTATAGTAAATGTTGAATATTAAATTGAAAATTTCTGATTATTTTTTATAAATTGTCCATTTTTTTAATACATATATATATATACATAAAAGATTATATTATACATACATGAATCCTTATCAAACACTTATCTGCAATGAATTATCGAAAAGAAATAATAAAAATATCTGTAGTTTTGTCTTTTTTTGTTAATGAAATAAGATATTGGATGTTCAATGCTAATATTACCAATCTAACAATTTCAAATTCATTGATTGATTTTAAAACGATGACTAAAAGGCAAAATGGTTGTAAAATAAAAAATGGTTTTTGTTTATTTATTTTAAAAACTGACTATTTGACATTTTTTTTAAGCGAATATTTTTCGTAAAACTTTGTTATTTAATAAGTATACTGATGAAATATTCACAATTATTTACTTAAATATTCAATATGATCCGAATGTATTGATTAAATATTTGTTAGTTCTAGAATTACAAATCGCATTTAAAAAAATATATTTGTAAAAATATTGTTTTGCTCATTTACAACACAAAAAAAAACTGTACTCAGAATCATAATTAAAAATTTTTATTTACTTTATGTTCATTTGATTATTTAAAGGTTTAAAATTACTTAATTGATTATTTAATTAATAATTACTTAATTGTTAAAAGTAATTAAAAAATAAAATAATATTATTATTTATGACATATTTTTTAATACACAATTTTTTATGCTTTTTTATTGCTACGGTAATTAAAAGTTTAATGTTTTTTTGAATATTTTTTTTTTTAATTTACAAGAAAATATTAAAGTGAAATTTTTTGAAATGGAGAATGATGAAATAGTATGGTATGATTATGGATCATTTTTGGAAGCTGACGTACATCATCAGTATGCTATAGCTTTAAGAACACCTGCATATAAAGATAAAGATATCGAGAAATATGTATGTTTTAAATTTTTTTAAAACAAACGGCTACAATATTATAATATAAACTAAAAAAAAATTTTTTTTTGTGTTAGGTACAAGTATATATACAATTGGAAAGACCTTCAGATGGTGATACAAGTGAACCAATTGAATTTAAATATAAACCAAGAGATTGTGTTTCATCACGTAAAAGAGCACGTACATGTTCATCTGGTATAGGTTCACATGAATTACCAGCAACAATTCATAATAATACTATTAATTGTAATATGAATGGTGCTGGTAATAATAAAGGTCCGACAATAAGTGAAGAATTTAATAAAAATGCAATTCTAGAGAATTTAAAAAGTTATATTTCATCAAGAGAAACAGAATTTTTAGAACAAGTTAAAAATAATTCAGATGGTATTTTTTTTTTTTTTTTAAATTATTTTTTATTTAAGTATATAAATTTAATTTTATTTTTAATTTTAGAACTGTTGAATATTGTTGATCCAAGTATTTTTGATCCTTTTGATGAAAATGATAATCTGGAAACAGATTGTCATGGACTGGATCTGTCTTTACATCAAAGGAGAAGTAATTTACCTTTTTATTAATAATTTTATGAACTATTTTTTTTTGTTGTTGTTTTGAATGTTGTTTTTTATTTTTGTTTTAAGTTAATTACTTGTTAATTTTCGTGAACAAGTAATTAATATATATTATGTATATAATTGTGATAGAATAACTTTTTGTATTTTATGTAATAAAATGTATTATTTTAAAATTTTCTAAATATAAAATGAAATTTTAAAATGAAAAATAAAGAGCAAAAAACCCTGCAGTATATAATATTCTTTTTATATATTAAAATAATGGTGTGAGTTCTTCATTTGTTCTATGAGTTTAAGAGCTTTTAACATTAAGAGAATATTTTTAATGAAATTAGAATGTAGTTTCAGAATTTAAATATTTTCTTACATTTATAAAAATTGCAATTGCATGTGGTTCCTTTAGTTATTTCTTGGCTTTTGGGGAGATAATATGAAAGATAAATGTAAAATAATTTATATTTAAACGAATATCTTTAAAATAGCTTATTAGTTATTCATTAAGTTAAAATTATGAATAAATTAAATATCACAAATTAATATTTTATTTTTAATAAATTTAAATAACATCCTGGTTTTGTTATATGAGTTGGGGAATGAATTTTTCTTACAATTGTGACATTCCAATTATTTATTACCTTAATAAATAATAATATTATAATATTATTAATAATAATATTTTCGGTTTTGCTTTCCTTTCGCCTTACTTTGTCTCTTTTGTTTTTATTAACTTAACCATACCATTTTTTTAACTCTTGCTTGTTTTGTCATCAAATTATTACCATTTTACTTTACTCTACTTATATTTTTATCTTTTCACAGCAAATTCTTCATTAACAAAACAAATGTTATTTAGGATAAATAATATATTAAGAATTTCGAAAAGGGATGGAATTGAAGCTGGAAAAATCAGAGAAAATATCGAGACGTTGTTATTGGAGTGTTATGAAAACGATAAAGAGTAATATTAATTTAATTCAATTAATTTTAAAATAAACTTATATATTTATGTACTGTTTTTAATATTGTTTAGTTTGTTACATACAATCATAAGAAATAAGGAAATAAAAGAAGGAATATTTTTGATGCGAATTCTCGATAAATTCAAATTATATGATATAGTGAATTTAAAAAATGATGATGGTGATAATTGCTTACATGTTGCATGCACATTCGATCGCTCTATGTTTATAAGATCATTAATTAATTTAGGTATGTCAATAATTTAATAATATATTTTAATTTTTTTTTTAGCTAATAATAATAATAAAAAAAACGAAAAGTATATGAAAAACTTGAATATAAAGAAAAATCAGTAAAAAAAATTTCCATTACTTTGATTAATGACATATCACAAAAGATGTTACATAATTTTTATTCTTTAATTATTAATCAATTATTACATTTCAATTTAATTACAACAGGAGCGAATGTAAATACACAGAATCATAAGGGTAAAACTCCTTTGCATATTGCCGTTGAAGAACAATTCGAAAATAGTATAATAAAAATACTAGATGAAAACAGTTATTGTACACGTAGTGAAAAATTAAACATTGATTTAGCAAATGATGACGGATACACAGCATTACATGTCGCTGTAAAGAAAGGAAATCTAAACATAGTGAAAAAATTAATTGAAGTTGGAAAAGCATCAACAAAAATATGTTGTTCTAAAAATGGAAATAATGTTTTACATTTGGCTGTTGAAGAAGTACGTAGTAATAAGGATTTTGTTTTATTTGTATAGAAAATATATGTAATCAAAATTTAATAATTATTTCAGAATAATCCTGAAATAGTAAAATATTTATTAGATTTTACAAATGTCCGAATTCATGAAAAAAATACATCTGGATGTACAGCGTTATCGATAGCACAATCAATGGGAGAAAAAGGCAAATGTCTTGTTGATGCAATTTTACAGAGAACAGAAACTATAACTAACAAGCTATACGAAAATGTAAAGGTAATGAATGAAAAATTATAATAAAAAATAATTATTTTATTTAATATAGAAATATTTCTTATAATTTAGTAATTAGAATGAATTGAAAAATCTACTTGATTATCCTTAAAAATTTATTTATAATTTCTCTTATTATATAGTCAGAAAAATCAGATAGTAGTTCCGGAGAAAGTGATGATGATCGTTCAATAAGATCATTAAAGATTGTTGAAGATTCAGATATGGCTTTTGATGAAAAAAAAAATATTACTCTGGTGGATCATTTAGACGATAGTACAATTGAAAAAATATCTACGTTGTTGATAAAAAATGAAAAATGGATCAAATTAGCTGAACTTCTTAATTTACATTCGTCTATTTGTCACTGGAATTCCCCAAAAGCTATGTTTAATTTTATAAATGAGGTACTATAACTACATTACTATTAAAATTGTTGAGTTTTTATTTTGGTTTAATTTTTAGTCGAAAGATATTAACGTGACGGATGTCATCGATGCCCTTTATTTAATGAATGAAGATGAAGTAATCAGTCACATAAAGACTGATGTTTAATCCAGAAAAACAAAAGTTTTTCTACATTTTAATTTTCAATTATCTAGTTTAATATTACTTTTTGTCTCTAATTAAAAAAAAATTGTATTGTATTTTCTTGAAAATTTTGTTATAATTTCGTTGTTCTTTTCGGTAAAATAAAGTATAGTCTTATGTACTTTTTCTTTTAAATTAATTAAGAATTACTATGGTTAAGTATTATTTAGTCATGTATCATAAAATGAAATATATTTTTAGAAGTATAATTTGTAATTTAATTAAATATAATCAAATACAAAGTGGAAGTTTATTTGGTTTTTCTTTAATAGGTTCATAAATTGCAATTTACTTATAACAGAAATGCTGATACTGAAAGTAATTTCCTAATGAACTATGTAAAGGAAAAATAATGGAAAAAACGTAATTTCGTTTTGTTCATAAAATTTTCTTTTCTTAGCCAAAGTTAGAATAGCCATGAAGAATACACTTTTCATTTCATATGTTACATTTCTAAAAGCTTTTGAAGATTGTCAAAAAATTAACCGAAGAATTCTAAAAAATAAAGTATAATATAAAAAGAAAATAAAGTATAATATAAAGGAAAAATTAAATCCATCATGTTTTCATTGTGTCATTTTTTTACTCGGTTCTAAATTTATTTTTACATTTAAGCAACACGAATCGATACATTCACCCATATTCCGCATGAAGTGACACTATTACATCTATGAATTATTCTAGTAGCCAAAGACGTGATAATTAAAAGTGGTACCAATCTTGACATGATCGCAGATGTCAAAATCTTCGCGTGTTCTCTTTCTGTGAAACTTTTCATACGTAGTCATTTTTTATCACCTCAATATTTACACTCGATTAACCATCACGTCAGGGTTCTTTTAGGTTAAATGAAATAAAATGGAAAAATCGACGATGTTGGTAATTATAAAAATTATTTAATTAATATTATACCAAAAATTTGAGTATATCAATTTTTATATTGATAATCACATACATATTTTTGTATTTTACAGAATAAAAAAGAATAACAAATATGAGCATTTTGAGCTTCTAATAAAATTAATGGTGGACAATGTTGATATAGCCGAAGAGTTTGAGGGATACTTAAAAAAGTATTATTAAGTTATTTTCAAGCTCCTCAAGTAAATGTTTTAAACTTTTTTTTTGAAGTACTTTAGAAATCTAGAAAAAGATACGTAAATTTTACTATAATATTCAAATATATACAAAATTTCTTTGAAATATTGTGAGAAATTGCATGGGATTAAAAAAATCTATAACTATTGGTTTTAAATAACTAAAGTATTCATAATTTCATTCACTTTGAATTTTTTTGTGACTTCAAGTTAGTTGTTAATGCTATCAACTAGCATTGTACTAGTGGTAGTACTTTTTGTCAGGTGACGTGACTAACAGAATATGGGTTATTATGAACAGTTGTTATTAACATTAAAATCTAATTACATTGAGTACTCAAGATTTATTTTGCAAAAACCATATATTCCGCTTTGCCAATCCTTCCAAAATATGTTAAATATATCCATGAATTTCAAGAAAAAGATATAATGTTCAAATAATGTGAAAGAAAAAAGCAGCCTATAAATATATGACAAACAGTACAATAGTATCATAACACTTCCCTATTAATGTTATTGAAATTTTTCAAAAAATAGGCTTCTTACTATCAAATAAAGTTGTTCTTCTTATTTTACTTCGACCCAAAAGTCCGCCTGTGTTTAAAATAAATGACCGTTATTTTTAATCGTTTTTAGCAAATTTTCTCGTAAGCGGCTCAATTTAAATTATCCACAATTTAAATTATTCAACACTCTTCAAAAATGGCAAAATTTAAGCTTTTTTAGTTTACAGTTGCTAGTTTTATTGGATAATTCAGTTCTAACTTGGTTCTTAATATAAAATACGCTCGATAAACTGCAAAGTCTGCAAATATGACAGTTGTGCTTAAAGTTCTAAAGCAATATTTAAGTTTTTTAATATCTTCTGCAAAAATACCATAAATTAGAAGAAAAATTACGCATATTAAAGAATTGCTGGAGTATGTTAAAAATTTGCAAAAATTTAAAAGTGTAATGTTCAGTTTCTGCAGTTTGTGTGAAAAAAATTAATTTAGAACTTTCAGCTCCTGCCCGAATTATCGAAAACCCCCAATACAATATATTATTACAATATGTTAAGTTTTACAATAATATCAATGTTTTTATAATAACCAGAACAATTATGTTGAAATTATTAATTCTGTTAAAGGCATATTTAGTAACTGAACATAATGTAAGTATGTATATGTGATGTAAATATAATTTGCAAAAAACTTTTAAATCAAAATAATTATTGCCAATCAATTTCAACAAACGCTTAAAAGATACACACATAAAAGCAAAAAAATATTAGCACAATGTATACTCGGCATTTCGACAACCTTTTTTTAATTTGTTCGTTGTGTCATTAAAAAATTTCAGCTTCATAAGATTACCTTTCTCTCACAATGTCTATGTGGCTTTTATTAAAACATTTTTGAATTTCCAACACATTTATAAAATTAAGAAGTATTAAATAGAATATACATATTATATTTGTGTGTTTGTATGTTTTTATGAATCTCATTCCCAAATAATCCCAATTCCCAACGCACACATGTATACGTTTCTCTCTTAAAACAAATAGAAATGAGAAGCTGGAGAACTACACCTCCATAAATAATTATTAACACATGTATTGTATTATCAATTTTGCAAAAAATTGTATGTATATTTAATCGCAAACGTAAATGACTTAAACAAAAAAAAACTTTTTTGCAGAAATATAAAGCTTTTTGAAATTTTGAATCAAAATTTTAGGTCTCGTCAGATATTTTGTTCATTCTTCAGTGAAGTGCTTAAGAAAAAGGTTTAATTTTCAAGAAAAATTAATTCGTATAAAATATTTGAATTCATAAAATTTAAATTGAAAATAATTTAAATAAAAAATAAAAATTTTAAAAAGTGAATAATAAAAACAAAAATAATAAGTAAAATTTTCTAAATTTTTATAAAAAAGAAAAAAAAAACATTTTATTCTTAAAACTGTTTAAAAAATCGTACATTGTGTTTTGATAGTAAAAATGGCTGTAGTAAATAACGGTATGTAATAACAATAATATATTTGTAATCTAAAATATTTTTCGTTATTTTATTTATTTTACATGCTCTTGTATTACATACATATATCCATGTCTATGACGTTAGAAATAATATTTTTAACTTATAAAATTAATGGCGAAATTTATGGCGAAATGAATTAATTGCGTTGATTTTATAATGCATAAAGAAAAGTTTTCGAAGCTGAACTAAAATAATATTAAACTGTCTGTCTTTAAATAAAAGATTCAAAAATATTGAAATAAGTACATTTCTTTTTTGCAAAATACAGGAGCACATATTTGAGCAAACAATTTTCGCTTTCAAGTATTTTTTTTTAATTTATACAAGTGGCCTATTGGTTCATGTCATTGGTGTACAATTTAGCGTACAATTCCTTTTTTTTTTTGTGTTCCTTGAAATGGCAAACTGTCAATTCTTAGGGATTTTATTTTTTTTATTTTTCTCAATTCTTAGGGATTATTCAAAAAATTTTTTTCAATGGTTGATAATTTTTCCGAAATATAATTTTTTTATTGGTGTGAAAAGAAAACTTCCTTTTATTCGGAATAAAATCAGTTTTGATAAAGTGCGTATGTAGCGCACGAAATATAAAAAAAAAAAAAAGTATTTTGTTCCGAATAAAAGGAAGTTTTCTTAGGGATTACTTGATCAATCTCTTAATACCATATTATGATGTCATAAATCTGATCTGGAAGAAAATTATTTACACATGTAAATGTAAAATGGAAAAATTAAATAACAAATATGAAAATTTGAAAAAATTAAAATAATATTTTGACATGTTTTAGGAATAAAAATGGAAATTAAAACCAAAATTGAATTTTGTATTTGTAATTTCAATCTAGAAATTTAGAAATTTACACACAAAAATATTTTAAAAATTTTTACATGAAATAAATTTTATTAAGAAAGGAAATGCTTTAATAAAAGAAATGCTTAAGAAAAAAATTATAATTAAGTTTTTATTGAGACAAGTTGCGTAGGGAATTATCTAAACAGATTGTTTGAATGCTTTTTGAAAGATTAAATTTATTTAAAGGTTTTAATAATGAAAATAGACCCGTAATGAAATTAAAAAAAAAAAACAACAGATAAGAAAAGTTTTGTTTTTATAGTCCACAATTTTTCATTTAAAAAATAAAATTATATCCAGAAACTTTAACTAATTTTACTTACTTAAGTAAAACAAATAAGGTAGGTACCTCCCTACCTATGGAAATAAATTACAAAAATTTAACAAAAAATTTTTTCATACCCATTTTTCGTTGTGAAAAATTTTTTTGGAAAATTTAGCAATTATTATATAATATTATTTTGTATATATAGATAAAAAGGTGTACAGTTAAAGTTGTAATGCATAAATAAGGAAGCTATTCAGTTTTAATAATTTCTTTGTTCTTCCTTATGCTTGCAGTTCATTAGAAATTTTATTTTTAATTACATATGCATAATAAATAATATTATTCATAATCCCAGTAACTTACTATTCTCTTAGACTTGGGTGTAGCTATAATATGGTTTGTTTCGTTTATTACTATAGTAGAAGTATAGAAATTTCCTTAGGGTTCGAGCAGACGTAATTTTTAATTTGGCAATTACTGACTTAATTGGAAAATCAAGGCGAATAGATCTAGGCAACTTAACTATGTGTCATTTTAAATCGACTACGTTAATTAAAAAATGCAATCAGTTTATAAAAAATTGTTAACTGTTTGATTGCTAATTTGCATGCGATCATAGAGAGTTGCACGTGCGCGAAGTTGAAGTCTATTATAAACCTATCTAACCTTGAGCAATATGTTGTACATATGTACACACTCACATTATGTACTAAAGCATCATTTTTTTTTTGACTTATTTACAACTTTGTACAAACTTGATTATCTTTAATTTCTTTATTATGAAAAAATGAATCATTTGTATTTACAAAGCTAGCCGGACGTGCTCGTTTTAGAATTTTTCTGTAGCATGTACATATGTATATATGTATATGTTACCTTTTTTCAAAAAAAAAATTAATCTTTTTGATTAGTTTAATATTTTTTTTTAACTATGTTATCATTATCGGTTTATAAAACACGCCGTAAAAAATATTCGGTTAGCTTAATGTAGGTGTATTTTTTATTGTGCGCAGATTCGACTTGTAATCATACATAATAATAAATAAATGCAGATATATGTATGTATGTATGTACACATAATATATATGTTCCTACGCTTATTACATTTTTAAATATTTATATTTAAATGTACTTATAAAATTATTAAAGAGTGATAAGGTATCAATAAATGACAAATAGTCTAAAAAATATTTCAGATGCTTATAATATTGCAAAAACTTGTGAAATTCTTCATTTTATTTGATTGCTTAAATGGAGGCTTCTATTGAAAGTAGATTTAAAAAATAAGTCATAATTTTATTATATACATACGTATGTATGTATGTATATACTAGTTTATTAAAGTTTATTATCGGTTTCAATCCTGGAAATATTGTTTTAAGTTAAAATTTTGAATTAAGGTTCTTGAATAATGTTCTGATGAATAATTCGATGAGACATGTATGTTTGTACACATTTGCTTTTATAATTTATATACTATGGTGTATACATACATATGTACATCCAGCCCCTATCTGGATGTTATATGACCTTCGGGATCACATTTAAAAATTTTATGAATTTATAGTTTTAAGTGATTTTTAGAAGGAGTTTGAATAATTTTTAGTAGAGTATTAATATTTAAATAAATATACCAAGGTACATTCATACATATATACCTTAATTTGCATGTTCCAGGCGGTGAAAGCCTAAGAAAATTGGTGTATTCATATAATATGTATGTACGTCGTGTGTACATATTTCATTTCCAAATGTACACATAATATGTGTTGTGTGTTTGTATACGCAATATACCTATGTAAAAATATCTATTTAGGCATTATTATAATGAAAGTTATTAACAACCAATAGGAGGATTACACATTCTAAGAAATTTATATAATTATTATATTTGCGCATATGACATATGTACATACATACATCTATATGAGCTTATTTTAACAATAAGTATTTGTATTTTTTTTTCTTTTTATTATTTATTTGTTTGTTTATATTATTATTTTTAATTTTATTTTGGAGTGTTTCTGAGAAATTATTTCTGTGGTGGAATTAAATATTTTTATATTTATAACACGTTTGCATATTATGTATGTTCTGATCGAAGTTGCATATTATAAAATATTTTAATATGTGACGTACATTCCTATTAGGTGAAATATTGAAATAAAGAAAATCAACTTTAATTTCGTTGAACCTTTAAAATGAAGAGTAGAATATTCTTGTAGGATATTCTATTCAATTTAATATTTTGCATAGTTGACCTGATTAATTAAGTATGTGTGTATGGACGTACATACTTAATTAATCAAAAAAATTTTTTTTTCAAGCCAGTTTTCTAAGGAGTTGTTGCCAAAAAACGCAATTTACTTATTATTTTACAATTTCAAAATTCATCTGATATGTATGTATTGCTTTACAAGAAGGAGGTGACCTTACAAAAGATTTTTGTAATGTGAATTACAAGTTCTTGACAACTATTTAAACTAAAAATTAATTGTTTGATGTTTCTTGGTAGTGTATATGAAAATTTCAATAGAATTGATTGTCTTTCCTTTGTAACTTAAAGTGTAGCAATGGCCTAATTGTGTACATTAGTTGAGTCATCACTCAATTCATTACAAGATTATATGGAATCCTTTCATTTGAAATGTATTTTTACTTTTGTAATTTGTGGTAGCAATATAAAAATAGTTAAAAAAATAAAAGTTTGCATTATTTAGTTATTGAAAGGTTCGTCAACCTTCTACAAACAATAGAATGTTTGAAAGTACAGTCTGGGTGCATTCGTATTTGTTATTTTTGATGAGATTAAAAATATTTTCTTAATAATTTATTGAATATGTAAAAACAATAAATTAGAACAAAAAAGTACAATGGAAATTAAGTAAGTTCACACTTATATATATATATATATATATAAGTACATTACATACATACATATTAACAGATAGAAAGAGAAAAACAAATATTTCTGCTAAATTAATTACTCTATTTTTTTTTCAATTATACCTAGATGTAGGATAATGTACTAACGCTCATAAATTATTTTTTATTTGTACTTAATGTGTACTTACTATAAAAATAATAAATATATAATTATCTGCTTATTTTTAATATTAGATAAGCAAAGCTGTTATATTGTGTTTATAAATTTAAAAATACTTTAAGTATGTTTGTACTTTATATATAAATTTATGTACGGCTTTTAATTTAACTTAGTGTTCAAACATAAATACTTTCTGAACCGAACCTTCTGAAACTCTCGAATGCCGTTCCAGAGATTTTATTGTGTATTAATAAATTTAAATATTTTCAAAAGAAAAAATTGGTTTTTTGATTTTCTGTTTAATAATCGATTGTTTTGGTTCCCAATGCGGAAACGCATATAGTATATTAAACATGTATACATTTTGTGCATACATATGTACGGGCTACGTAGTTTATTAGTTCGTATTTAAATAATGTTCTAGCACATAATACTTCTTTCAACGTTTCTTCTCTTGTACCTACATTGTTGTATCAATTAGAAATATTTTTTGTTGTTTGTCACGCGGTAAACGTAATACGATGTTACTCATTCCTGCACTATAAAATGTTTTTTTTTTTATTAAAAGCTTAAACAAAATATAAAAATATACATGTATAAATATGTATGTATGAAAATTATTCTCATTTTATTGCTTAGAAATTTATTTTTATCTAAAAAGTAATAAATATTAAAAAATACACTAATGAGGTGAGGTACATACATATGTATACAGAAGTACGTGTTAATAACTGATACGTTTATAAAATGTATTTAGAAAAAAATCTTGTAGAAAGTATAATTTAAAATGTATAAATATGTTCATTTATGTATAAATTTTTGTGTTCATACATTGAAAACCTAATGGTTATCATTTTATAGATTTAAAATTGGGGACTTAAATAAAAATTGGTGACTTAAACCTAGTTTAAGCTAAAAATAAGTTTTTAATTTTTTTTATTATAAAGAAATTATAGCTTGAAAAACCACAAATTTTATTTTTAAAATTCATAGAGAATACCTTTACGTTAACAAATTTAATGTCAATTGACGTAATTATATTAAAAATGAATACGTAATTTACATATAAAAGTGAAATGTTTCATTAAAAATTTATTAAGTTATATTTTCGAGGTTACGTTATCAAAAGTAGTTAATAAAATTACAGTATTAATTATTTGTAGGTATAAAGAATTGAATATAGAGTTATTATGGTATAAAGAAAGTTCTCAAATTGAAATACTTAACTAGTTTACATTTTGACTCATGAATGGGTTAAAATTATTGCCTTATTGTTGTTACATGTATGTAAATTTCACAATTAAATAATTCTTCTAATAAATATTAAAGATTATACATATTACAATCTTTAATATTAAAATTGAAATATTATATTATGTAGCTTTTGAATATGTATACTTGTACGAATCGAAATTTTTACATGATGTGCTTTAAAAAATGTGTTTGTTTTTTTTTTATTGAAATTAATTTTATTATATTTATCAGGCAATTGCGTTAACGAAAACACTATGATCTCATATTTTATTCTTCTTAATAATAACAAAAATAATCGTATGATCGATAAAAATGTACTTAAAATTTTTAAATATACATACATAAATATTAACGTATATATACTACATATTACATATGGAAAAAGTATAGTGAGAAATGGGATAAAAAACAATGAGTATATTAAGTTGTATGTACCTGCAAATGTATAAAAAATTTGATTAGAGAATTTGATTGCAAAATGAAGATGTAAAATAAACGTACTGACTTTTATTATATTAGAGTTACGCCAAGCTTAGATATTTTGTTTTTTATATACATATTTACATGAAATGAAATTATTAAAAAAAGAAATTGACTGTGGAGGACGAGTGCTGAGAGCCAGCGTCATGGTTTGAGTTCAATTGAATGAGTTATATATATATACATAAGTATATTTTTTTTTTGTTAATTTCCTACGTATTTGACAGTTTCACGCTGTACATCGTTACGAAGAGATTATTTTTATTGTATTCGATAAAGTTAACACATATGTATGTGAATCTTGCGAGAATGTATTTGAATTAAAATACAATTTTTCTATTTAACATTGTAGACTTTCTAATTCAACCTGTTAAGAGGGTTAGTTATAAGTAGTAAAAGCAAATTCATTATACCTATGATTTAATCATACATAAGTACATATGTATGTATATACATATAACCATATACATACATATTATATTTACGTGCAAAACATTTCAAAATAATCCGCGAAAACAAAATTAGATTATTGGAATTTGAAATTAGCGCCATGTTTCGATTATATTTTTTTTCTTTTTGTAAACATTAAAAATGAAAATTTTTCTTCTTTTTATTTTATACATTCCTGAAAAATTATAAATTTTATAAATGGATTATAATGAAAATTTGTATGTATGTATGTACATATGTACATACGTGTTATATGAAATGTAGTTATAGCCGTAAAAGTTTATTATTTTTATTATTTTTCATAACAATTTAAATATTTTAGAACAAATTTAAAATTTACGGTAAATATATACGGTATATGTACACATGTATGTATACGAGCATAAAAATTTTAAATGCCTCTACAAATTATTATGTGTATAATATTTCTCTATGATATTATTATTTGTACGATATATGTATATGTATTTACGTTCTATGTGTAATACTTTTCTTACAAATCTAGTCTTTACGAATTGCATTGAACTCAACGAAATTTTGGAAGGCTTTACTCTTAAATGTATTAAGAGCTCCGTTGAAATTATAGAGTAGACGTATACTCATCTTGTAATAATTAAGAATTAATAATATTCTCGTTATTTGTAATTTCTTTGAATCTTTATAGACATATGTATTTATATAAATATATGTATGTATAAACATTCACAGAAATACAAAAATATATTCTGTCTGAATTTTTAGAAATTATTTAATATGTTAGAAAAAATATTATACAAACATTATCTGAATGGATTTCAGTTTTAATTAAAATACTTTTTATTTCATAGAATTTATATTGGATGAAGAAGATGTTGAAATTGATCAACTACTTACTTTTTCATCAGAAGAAGGATCACCACAAGTTTCTGGTATAAATCAATTATTTAATTAATGTTATTTTTTAATTTGTTTACATATTATTTATTATATATATATACGTATATAAATATAGATATATTATATGAAATTATATGAAAATTATTAATTAGTTTTCAATATCATTTCATAGAATTGCAGACACCACCAATTTTTTATATATCTAAACAACCTAAAGACTCAACGTTTTTTCACTCATTAACAAGTTTCCAAAATAATGCGAACATTGATGAAGTAACAGCAACTGTAGAATATTTTGCAAATGGTTACAATGATAAAAAATTGTTATTTACATGTACCCCGTATGTTCAAATGAAAAATTCCTCAATTAAAGAAATTCACCCGTGTCGATTAGTTAATCTAAAAGATAAAAAAACATCTAAATTGACTTCAAATTTAATGGACCCAATAAAATTTGTTTCAGAACTTGGAAATAAATCTTCATTGTAAGTAAAATCCGAAAGGAAATAATTTATGAATATGTATATTTTTTTTTTATACATATACATATATGCAAAATTTCAGTGTATTAATTTTTTTCTTTTTTTAAAGCAATGTTAAATTTGCGATTGTGAAACCTGGAAATCGGTCTAAAGCTTTTAAAAGAGAAATAAAGTTGTCAAAACCTGAAAAAAATTACGACTTAAATAAAGTATTTTTGAAGTTCGAAGTTAGGGAATATAAAAATGGTGTCGTAGGTGACATTATATGTGAAATATTCTCTAATCCAATTTCCAATGATGGTATGTACATACATATATACTTATTTTATTTTATTTCAAATTTAATAATGAAATGAATATATTAACAGCTGGAAAAAGTATAACTCCAAAAATTTCAAGTCCATGCTCGTCTTTTTCATTTGATCCGTCATCACCGTCTGCTTTGTCATCACTTGAATATCAAATGTCCTCATCACCATCATCATCATCGTCATCTTCACCAGTACATGATCAATCTGATTTATTATTGACAAATTTGCCTTCCACAAATGGTAATTACATATATATGTATACACATATCTACATAATTTTTCTATATATTTTCTACACGTTTCTATAGAGTTTAAAACAAATTTCAACTTTTTTTCTCTTATTCAGATTCCGCTTGCATATTGGTAATAACGAGACAACCAGAAGAAACTACATATTTTAGAAATGAATCTGAAATAGATACAGATAAGCATGGTCATATTAAAGCTAGAGATGATAAAAAAGAATATCCAACTGTAAAACTTACGGGGTTTTATTCACAAGATGATGTTCTTATAACTTGTACACCACAAGTAAAAAATAAGTTAAATAATACGTTAAGCATTCACCCCTATCGATTAGTCAGACAAGATAGAAAACTTTTATCTGATGATGGAGTTATGGATCCATATGTCTGTATAGCTGAATTCAGCAAAAATTATACAGTGTAAGTTTGGTTTTATTAATTATTTTTTATGTATAATATTTAATTTATGTATAATATTTAATATTAGTGTGTATATTTGGTTGTACCAATAAAAATAAAGTTTGATCTTTTTTTATTTTTATTAAAGTGAAATTAAAGCTACATTTTTGATACCCGGAAAAGATTCTCATTATTTAAGAAACGGCGTAAACATTACTAAAAGAATGAGAAATATTTATGAATTAAATGAAGTAATATTATGCTTCGAAGCATTTGAATTGAAAGATGATCCTAATGGTAAAGGCAAATTAAAAGGAGAACGAATTGCAAAAGTATATTCTGATGTAATTGGAAATCAAAGTAAGTTCTTTTTACTAATCATTAAAAATTTATAATATGCGCATACATATGTATGTATGTAGGTATGTAAGCACGTATATATTTATATATATTATGCATGTATGTATGCATGTATAAAAATTCTTGTATTTTTCCACTGATATAAATATCGTCTTATGAATCATACAAAAAGTTCTAGTAAAAAACGCGTTTTTTTGATTACTCGTATTAATTTAGTTTCTATTTTAATCGAACGATTGCATATGTTATAAGCGAAGTCTTGTTATCGCACCAAATTTTACCAGTCCAAACTTTCAGTGAAAGTATGCACATGTTATTATGTTTAAAGCTTTATGGTATAGAAATTCAAAGGAATTATTTTTAGTGACATCTTCATCTAAAATCTTGTGTCCATACTTTTATTTAAATTATGTACATGAAAACCTGAGTGTTTTTATGGTTCGGTAAATTTCATTACTTTTGGGACTTTATTTTGATTTTATCTAAAACGTTAATGAATATAAATATTTACTTGAATTTCAAGCTCTATTCTAAGGATTTACTCTGTAATCTGATCACGGAAGCACGATCTATAAAAAATTTGAATTTTATATTTTTAGAGCTACTTACATACAGATATCAAATAAAACTATAGGAATTTTGAAATTAGAAATACATAAATTTACGTGCAATGCATGATACAAATCTAGATTTATTTTTATACGCATACAATTGTTCATTAAATAGGCCACATCAGATTTTTACATACCTACTTACTTGTCTATATAATTAGCATGTTTCGGTTGTTTGTTCAATTCGTAGATTAAAAATATTTCAATTTCACAATTTGGGAAATTCCCATTTATATTCCTTATCTTTATCTGAAGCTTTTTTTTGCAATCGCAAAACAAAAAATATGTACATGAGTTTGTGATTGTTAAGGGATGTATGAGCTCATGTATGCTTATGGGTACGAATATGTACACACATATGTATATTTGGACGAACAGTCATAATAAAGTTCAAATTATTTTATATTTAATAATTAAAATATTTCATAATGAAAAAATCTTAAAATATTTGTAATTTATATGAAAATATGAAAGTGTGTGCGTGAGAATATATTTAAGTTAGATATATTTGCGAAAATAGTTTTGTTTGTGTAAGAAGGCAAGAAAAACCAGCGTACATATATTAATTATTGGGCTTGGACATTTAAGAATCACGCAAAAAAAATTAATTTGAAAAATTTCATTTTATAATTATAGAAGAGAAGTACGTACGCATGCATGCGCGCGCACACACATGCGTAAGTTTGATTTTAAAGTAACTATGTACAGTGTATGTACATATGTACATATATCGCGTATTTGTTTTATCTCTTAACCTTACTTAAGATTTAATTTTTAGTTAATTCTCTTTGTTAATTTAATGTTAATCCGTTTCAAGGATTAAACTCATAAATATTTGCATACTTATATAAAATTTTATATTTTTAGAATCGGTGTTGTTTTTAACAAATTTGGAAATTACGAGTATCTTATTTTTTATTATAATCCAAACGTTAAAAAAAAATTAAAATACATGTAAAACTTGAATAACAGAAAGTATAATAATATCATTTTTAAAAATTTTTTGACGAATGAAAGAGAAAGTACCTATCGGTACGAATAATGCAAAAATTTGAGTAAAAAGCACATTTTAGAAATACGTAGCATGTCCACATGTACATATGTAGTAAATTTTAAAAATACAATAAATAAAATTCTAATACAATTTTAATCTGTATGTACATACATATTATACTTATGTACTGTGCCACTGTTCTAATACAAATAAAGCGTTTAAGTATTATTTTCATTTACAATAGAAATAAATATGTATGTATACATTCCTAATAAGATTTATACATATTATGTTATATGTACATACATGTTTAGGAATATACATATTTAATAACTTTCATAAGCATCAATATTGTACACAACTTTATTATTTCTAGTATTAGTATTTTTGCCGAGCATGAAAGCTTGCTTTAACATTATAGAATACAGAAAACACGTTAATTTATTGCACATGTCTTTTGCTATCCCTTTTTAAATTTGTTATGTTATGTCACCTGTGCATGATAAATAATGTAAACAAAAATTTTTTTCCATAACAAACTGAATCGGCGTGTTACTTATTTGGTTTAAATAGCTTTCAAAATATAAATACATATGTAACTATGTATGTACATTCTTTATAATAGTTATCTTCTAATATTATAAGCGGACTATATATGTACATATATGTATATGTTAGCCTTTTGTTCTACTATTTAATTAGGTGCGAAATGAATCTATCATATCTCAATATGAAAATGTAAAAGAATATCTAAATACAGAAGAGTAAAAGAATATCAAAAAATGAATACACGAATTAAATGAAATTGATAACAGTGAAAATTTCTTAAAAACTAGCATGTTATCAATAAAAATTTTATTAATAACTAGTCATTGGTTATATATAAAATTGTTTTCCGGCGAATTTTTGCATATTTTGACGTTTGTCCGAAACATATTTTGAAGTTCTGTTACTTAGAACAATATTAATTAAGTGTGTACGATATGAACTTTTAATGAACTGTAAATGAACTGGTAATTTTGTTTCTTACAGGAAATTCTGATACCAATAAATTGGAAATAAAAGATTTTCCAAGAAATGAAGGAAATATAAAAGGTGGAACTGTAGCTTGGATAAAATGTTCACCAGTAAAACCAGATGGTAACACAAATTATTAAAGTATATTTTGTAACATTTTTTAATAAATTTAAAATTTTTTGTCTCTATTTAGCCATTAAAGTTCGTTTTTCGCTTGGAGAAAAAAAAAGCTATGCTCATATTGAAGCAGCTGACAAACATTTAATTATTATTCGTACACCACCTTTTTGGGACAAAGATGTTGCACTCCCAGTAAGTGTTTACTTAACTATATAAAAGAAAGTAGTTTTTAAAAAAATTTGAACTAATTAAGAATTATAATAAAAATACACATAAGCATGAGTATTAGAGTTCAACTCCGGTTGTGAGTAATAAATTTTAATTTCAATTACTAGAAATATATTTTTTCGTTTTATTTGCTTATACCAAAAGGAAATTTCAAAATTTTATACATTACATTTTAAAATGCAATTCTGTTTATATTTCCTATCTTCTTAAAAAATTTGCTGCAGGGTCTGTGAAAGATCTTTACAATATCACAAAATTAAATTTTATGCACTTATGTTTTCATTCTTCTCATCCCAGATTTAGATCCGCATACTCGTTAATATAAAAATTCTTATATTATTCTTTTTTAGGTTACAGTGAACGTACAACTGGAACGGGGTAACGTTCTAAGTGATGCAGTTGAATTTAAATATGTAACAAAAGCAAGGAAATCTTTAAAAAGAAGTGCAAAAGAATCAGATAGTGGTAATCTATCTGATAGTGATGAAAATGAGGGTCGGCAAAATATGAAAGTAAGAAAAATTTCAAGTAAAAGAAATACAAAACTTTCCAAAAAAGTTGAAAAAACTTCAGTCGAGTATAGATCTGATTCTAGTAATGAAAACGGTGTTCAATGCAAAACAGTAGATAGTCAAAATGTTGTTACACATTTTGAAATGCTTGAAACCAATGTTTCCAACACAGATTATCAGCACGTCAGCAATCAAGAAAATGTACACGCTTCAAATGTTTTACACGAATCTTCTGTTCAATGTGAAACAGTATATATTCAAAATGGTGCTACTGATTTTCAAAGGCTTGAAACCAATGTTTCCAACACGGAGTATCAACATGTCAATAATCAGGAAAGCGAGCACATTTCAGAAATTACATGCAATATTAGTCAACCAATGTTGAAATCCCCGTCAAATGAATTTAGTGATATATTAGACAAGATGATGGTTGATTCAAACTTTGAATTAAATGCTGAGCCACTAAGTAAGTGATGAAAGCTAAAGAATGTTTTGTTTCCTATAATTTTAAAATAAATTGTTACTTTTGTTTTGAATTATATAACTCGTAAAAAGGCTATAATTTCTTACATAATACCATGGACTTTACCGTTATTTTATAAATGTGTATGTATATAGATTTGAAAGTATTCTTATTTTAAATAGAAAAATATAAAAAACTGTGAAATGTGACATAGCGAGAAATTTTTGTTTAAGTTTTAATTTTTGAAATCGTTATTTGAATCAGAAACCAGTATATGTATGTACTGTTGAATAAGACATACTGCCTAAAATTTTGCGTATTATGTGGTTTCCGGTGACAGTGCATTAACTCATTTCAAAATTGACAATTTTAGGGAATCTTAATGCCCATTCATTCAAAATTGATTAGATTTATTTTATAAATTTTTGTTTGAGAACTTAAAAATGGCTTAAAGCATACTAAACATACTAAAGTATACTAAACCGTTCAAGGACCGACGATATAAAAAAAAAGTCCTAATAGAATTTCATCAAATGTGGTGAATAAATTCATATTGCAAAAATCTTACAAGAAGATTTATATAAAAATATTTTGGGGATTTTTAAAAAAATCACCTGGGATCTATTAGTTTTAGCCACTTCAAAAAGTATTTTCTGAAACCATAGTGAATAGATCGCACGTAGTTCGTTCAGAATTTTAATTCAAAATAGTAATACAATACATAAGAGTCAATTTACTTCTTCTAAAATATTAGTTTCTTCTAAAATATTTTTTGCATACAGTGGTTCTTAGTTTTAAAATGTGACACACACACAAACATATAGCGTTACGTATATAATATCGTATTACAGCGCAAAGACTTTTGACTATGATTGAGTTAGCATGTATTTCTGAATATGAAATTTAAATTGATATGAAGAAATTATTATTTATGATAATATCTAAGAATTTTTTTTTTTAAATACATAAACAAAAAATTTATAAACCTTTTATTTGATACATATGTATACATATGTATGTATGTATATACAACTGTAATAAATGCTTTATTATATTAATTTATCTTGCTAAGGTAATTGGAATGAAAATGGATTTGAATCCTGGAATTGGTGGCAGGCAAATGGCGATGAAGATATTGATACCTATATAAATTCATTTGGTTCATTAGGTGAAACGAACACTGATTGCAAGGCTGCTTGAATCAATTCGATTTTGTTTTTATATTGGTCTTTATATTTCACGTTTAAAAAGTATTGAAATACTTGTTCGATATTTTGTTTAATATCTTAATTAATTTGTTTTGTAATTATTCTTAATTATGTATGGTATATAATAAAGTAATAAATTGTTGTAATAATAATTTGTGAAATATTATATACATATACATACAAAATACATATATTGTCATATATATTGTCATATAATATATTGTATTATAGAAATTTATGTACAAAAATAAAATGTAATATTATAAAGAATAATAAAACCGGGGAAAGCCGCTTTCTCTGATACCTTTGTTCTTTATATTATTATATTTTTGTGTCATAATTGTAATAATACTAGTCGGTAATAATACAATATATTTGTAGAGTCGGTGTTCTCAGACGAGAAAAAATTTGAGATTTATTTTTTGCGTCTTTTATGGAGACGCAAATTTAATTTTAATTTTTTTAATTTACAAAAAAAATATATTATTATTAAATTTATAACAAATTAAAAATCGAATTGATGCGCAGCGTTTTGATTGCACAGTGGTCATTTATTTGATTGTGTTTTTCTTTATTCAAGTTGTAATGGGTAAATAATTGTTGCCAAAAAGTTTGATTGGAAAAATTATAAATTTTGACATATGTATGTATAAGTATCGATTTCCTTATACTCTTACATATGTTTTAAAAAATTAAATTTCAAAAACAAATTTTAAAAATTTGAAATAAAATATTATATTTCTAATTATAAAATTATAGAAACGATAGACGACTTTGATATTTTTGATTTTAAAATATTTTTTTATGCTTTTTTATGGTTTGTTATAACATTATATTAAAATTTTTGACGACATTACAAATTAAATTAAAATTTTTATAATATTAATTATTAAAAAAAATTATGGCAGCTTCTATTTTGAACATAATTTACTCATTACAATCAACTGATAAATTATAAAATGAAAATTTTATTAATATTTTTTTTTTTTCATTTTAGAATTTTACTCACAAAGAAATAGCTATCTTTCGATTATAAAAATTTTTTTTTTCAATATAATTGAATTTGCCATAGAGGTAAAGTATATAATGTTTTAGGAGCTTTTTTTTTCAGGATTCCCAACTAGAATTTTGTGTCATCAAGATAGCGGAAAAATTCAGGAAATGTATGTATATGGGTTTTGCTGCAATTTTTTTTTAGACTTCGAATTAAACGGGCCGAAATTTGATATCTTATTTTGAAATAATAGTTTTTTTTTTATTCTTAATAATATAATAGTTACGCAAACGTATATGATTTAACGCGCATACATAAAATTTAAAAAAATTTAGCATTTGTTGGATTAGTCAAATCGATTTTTAGAATAAAGAAATTTTTATTAATATTTGTATAAGAACATTACATTTCCACATCACTATTCCTTTAGGAAGTAATAGCGAAATTTAAGTTAAACAATACATTTATCCATTACAAGATTCGAGTATATTAGAAAGAAATTGAGAAACGCAATTTTCAAATATTTAATCTTCCAGAATCAGCGTTTTTTTAATAATATTTCAATATTTTGTTTAATGATCTTTTATTTGATAAATTTAAATTTTAAAAGTTTTTTTTTTGTGCTTCAATTTAAATTCTTAATAAATATTAATATAAATATTAATATAATAAAATTACCATTTCGGAAACTTAAAATTTTTTTTTGACTTAAATTTTTTAATGTTCAGGATTAATCAGAATTTTTTAAAACTTTTGGCAATAATAGATATTATTATTTTATACATAATAATTATGTAAATTCATATAATAAAGTTAAAGACTAGATTCTGGTTGGGCAAAATATTCTGAAAAATAAATACACTTTGGTTAATAAATTTAACTATAAAAAATCATTGTGGAAGAGCTTTTACGGTGGAAAATGTCGTTTGTGAGAATAAAATGGGGTGTCAATGATTTATAAGGGAAATGTATATAATATTTATTATTATTAATACAATAAAATTAAATTATTTTGAAACAAGAATAAATCAACACAATAAATATGTGTTTATTGTATAAAATAAAAATATTAATTATATTTAGTAAGAAGGGTAATATTCTCGTAAATGTATAAAGTTATTATGGTAAAAATTTTATTTTGAAAGATCTAAGAGTTCATCGACCCTATTTAACAATTTTATACTTTGTTATGCATAATATACGTTATGTATATACTTATTATGCGTATTATTTATAATTTTGTTTCTTTATAAGTTCTGATGATCTCCTTTTGATCTCTATATGATATTTTGTGCCCTAAAATGTCCTAATTTTTAATTCAAATTCAGTTCATTAAAAAATGCTTTACAAAAATTTAATTTAATTGACTTTCTTATAAACAAATAAAATTACCATAAAGCATTTTTTAATAAGCTGTATATTAAATTTTTATGAGAATCCTTTATTTAATAATTGTATTAATTGATTTTATTTTTAATACTTTTCTATACAGATTTTGGAATCACAATTTCAAAAATTCAAGTCTCGTATTTTTACCTATTTGGGGTACAGTGACACATCTGTTGAAGATATCAAATTTTATAATGATGAGGTAATTCAATTTTCATGAAATTTTCAATTCATTTTTCAATTCATTTAAAAACATTTATTTTCGCAATATTAACTATCATTATTATATAACTTGTAGGCGCCAGAAGTTAATATCAACGATATCATAGAGGATAATATCAATAAAACTATTGAAGCAGTAAACAACGAAAATACTCAAAAAGGAACTTCATATTTTAAATATTTTTTTGAGAAAATCATGAAGTTAGATAACAATAAGTGGTTTTAAAAGCAATTTCTTTTAAATTACAAGTATACATATGTATATTATGTTCCATATAGTTGAAATAATGATTACGGCTTATATTTTTTATTAAATTGAATATTTTTCAAACATTGTAAATAATTTATACTAGCTCAACGTCATTTAAATTCTTGCGGCTTATAAGTTGCATTAAAACATAATCTGAAATGTTCATTACCGAAGCCACATTTTCAAAAAACTGAAAATATTAATAATTTGTTTTAAAAAATGCAGTTAATTTTTAGCGTAATTACGAGAAAATTTTTTTTCAATTTATTTACAGTAACAGAAAAATAATAATATTAATTCTAATTATTTAAATTCGATCAGTGAAACGGAGTAATAGAAAGAAAAAGAAAACACACCATCCTGAATTTTATAAAACAAAACCTGAAACTTGGAACTGGCGCCTCGCACCAATAGAGGTGTATGGGACTGTTGCTCCAGCCAAGGAGAACATCAACTATGTTTTGATGACGGAATAGCGAATGCATAAAAATATTGAAATATTAAAAATTAATATTTACTTTCACTAAACAAATTTATCCAGATAGGATTTTTATACTTATACAACAAGATGACGCCAGTATGACAATATGGCAAAGAAGACAAACAAATGGTTGAAATTAAATAATGTTAGGGCATACGAATAATCAACATTCACCCCAAATCTTAACATTATCGAAAATTTATGAGAAAAATAAAGAAAACAATATTAGATGCTAGTCTTCAAGTAAAACCTGTTTTGAAGAAATGTGGCGTAAAATTAAGCTGGCAGAAAATTTGCATGAAATAACTTTGGAGTACGCCTAAGATAATTACAATTCAATGTAAACACGAAAACAAAGCATCATTAAGGTGAAAGGAAGTATAACATTAAACTAGAATTATTTTTGCTTTTCTGTTACTGTAAATAAGTTTGAAAAAGATTTCGTTGTAATTACATACGCTGAAAATTAACTGCATTTTTTGAAACAAATTATTAACATTTTTTGTTTTTTGATAATGTGACCATGCTAAGGAATGTTTCAGTTCATGTTTTTATTTTAATTTATAAGTCAGACGGAATTTGGAGTATGATGCTAGTTTGTAAGCATACTTTTGGAAATGACTGGCCGTATAGTTGTTTCATGTTAATTAATAAGCTAATCGTAGTAATCAAATTGGTTTAAAGTAATTGGAAAATATTGAATGTATGACATTTGAAATTCGTATCATTATCGAACTCAGTTGTATGGTAAATTAAGGATATGATAATATTTTAGGATAAATGTATATTAATAACTTATTCAAAGTAGTACCTGCGTTTAGTATAACAATTTCATATAAGCAAAATGTAAGTCCGAATGTAACATGTATCAACAGAAACTATTTTTATATTTTCTGTTATTTAATTTTTAACTCTAAAGAATACTTGTAAATTTTATAAGCAAATAACTAGATAAAATGATAGCTTGAGATGAAATTTTTTTTAGATTTTGAGACTTACTATTTAATGGAACTGACATATTTATTTTCATTGACACAATTAATAAAGTTACATTATTAACGCTAGTATTTGCTTGACTACTTCCAGTTTAAGAACTTTTAATTTAATGTTTACTTTTGCGTTCATTTCAATTTATTATAATATGTTGCATGTAACACAATTTAACAACATCAAATATTAAATTTTTTTAACTTTTAGTCAATATAATTTTATCTGTGATATTTGGTTTATAGCTCTTATCGTTTTATAAACGTAACATAAACAGAAAAATTTTTAATGTAGTGAAATTTCTGCATTATATATAGAAAACAATGTGCAATGTACAAAACCAGTTAGTATAAAAATTCCCCAAAAATCTTATTTTTTTTTGTTACTCATTATATGTTGATAGTAGTACAAAAAATCTTTTACTAGATATAGGAACTCGAATTACATACTATGTATGTGTAGTACATTGGTAAAAGTAAATAAGTATACATATAATATTTTATATAATATTATATAAAAATTGAGTAATTATAAAATCGATGTTGGTACTACTTTATTTGCGTTCTAATTAAGTTGTAAAACATTCTCTACAATATACGAACTCCTATAATAAAAGATGTTACGAATAGTATATTTTATATTGGTATATAGAGTTTCACTGTTTTATATCTAAATTAAACGTGAAATATTTAAAATTTAAATTTATAAGTTAGTTTTTATTCTTGTTAAACAGTATTTTCGTACAAATTAATGTTAAATTTAGAAATTATTCTCAACTGCTAGAGCGTAGCTTAAACTCTTATAATATTTTCTTAAATTGAATGTGAGCAGTATTAGTTTGAGATAATGATTACGTTCTGTTGAATAATGTATAACACTTTACATTGTGAACTATTCTAAAACATTTTAGTATGAAACGAATAAAATATTTTGCCTACTTTTAGGAGAGCACTAAAATGTTTATTTGAACGTAAAATAATTCATTTTCATACAAATTATAGATTTTCATATTTATACCATTCTATGTATAGTAGTAAAGTAGGATTTGAATGTATGAATAATTAAATATAATGAACTATATAATGCTAAATTCAAGTAATAGTTGCAAAAACAAAAAATTATATCGTAATTTTACCGTATGTTTTATATACACAAGTTTATATTATCTCAAGTTTGTTTTAATAATTAAATACAAAGTTTATTATTTAGTCAAATTATTTACGCTTACCAATACTTTAAGTTCTTACTCAAAAGAAATTCATTTTACTAAGTGTCGTAGTAGATGTTTCATAATTTTATTTTGTTACTGCTCAGATGCAATAAATTTAGTATATTTCATACTATGTTTCATTACGTGCATATTAATGGAATCAAATGTTACCGTCCTTTTTTCATTATAAATGCTCTATAAAATTCGTTAAGCCTTGGCAGTTTATAAATCTTTGATAGAGAGAATAATATTTGTAAAAATATCAACAACTTTAAAACGTGTTCAATTATACTTATAAAATATTTTTTACAATTGATGTCAAGTATTTTGTATTGATTTAATTTTAGTATATTCCCGAAAAAACGGGAAAAGTGTTCTTAATTTTATATGTAAATTTAGAATAAGGAGTAATAAATAGTATTTCGATAATGTATATAGAGAATGTAAGATGTTTTAAAAAAAGTTTTAATTCAGATACCACTAACTTGATTAAAATTTTGTGATATTATATAATTGTTAAAATAAAATGAATGTTTAATTTATTAAGTTTTGTTATTCAAAATATACAGAATTATATTTATTCCTGTATATTCTGCGTTGTAATAAATATTATTTTTATATAAAATTTTTTATTGCTTTTATCGTAACAAGCCTGAAAAATTGAATAAATGTATTAGAGAGTTCTTAACATAAATTTAAGTTTAAATATTTTTTATTTAAATAATGTTGAAATTAAATTAGTAATGCATTCTTTATACTGAAAAACAATTTTTATAAATTAGTTTTTTTTATGTATTTTAGGAAAAGAATAGAATCTTTAGAAAAAAGAAGAATTTCTAAAAAAGAATTTATTTTTCTAGAATAAAAATTCTATTCTTCCTGATTTTAGAATTTAGAAGATTACATTTTTTATTAATATTTTTAATAAACCCTTTTCAGTATACATAACATAAGTATTTTCAGTATTCGTAAACATATTATGTCGCTTATATAGTTTATTAGTTTATAAACATTGTTGAACTATTACCAATATAGTGAAATTGTTATGAGTAGGTTAGGTAAATCATATGAATTATTTAGTCAGAAATAACGTATATTTTTATAATCAAAAGATTTTTGAAAAAATAGTTAAAAAAAATTTAAATAATAAGTAAACTAATAAAATTTGTGTAATCAAATGATTTGCGGAGTAGCAAAACACCTATTTGTATCTTGAATAAAAGATGTTTTGTCAGTGAACAAAATACAGCTTTAAAATGTCCGTGAACAAACGCTATTTTCAAATTTTCGCACACTCATATATGAAGTTTTAAAAATCTTAAAATTATTTACTTAAATTTCATTCTGATTCAAAGTATGGATTTTTTTTTTAAAATTGATTTTCCAGTTATGGAATCTTGTTTGCTTTGGTTTAGTTCTCTTTTTTCTTTTTTCAATGAATATTTTTAGTTATTTAGCTCTTTTTATGTTAACGTTTATTTTGTTTATTTCATTATTTTTAATTGAAAATTATCGTTATTAATCAGCCGACTCGACTTGGAAAAATACATTTTGTTTACTGTTTACTTCTTATATGTGTATATGGTAAATATTATTTTTACTAAATACATAATACGTATATATACCAAGGCGTATATGCACTCTTAAATTCAAGTACACATTCTAAATATAGTTATTCTCATCAAATGCATTAAACTTCAAAAAATTTACCTTGTTTTTTTAATATATTAAAACTGATAAGATAATCAATTTGGGGTTACCAACTTTATTTAAATATGTATATATATTATGTACAAAGAGATTAGAATAAAAAATTCAAAATAAGCATTAAAATAATGATATTATTCAGAAAATTGTGATAGATCAAGAAAAAAACTCATATTACTTTAATTATTCTTTAATTATTTAGGATTTTATATAATGTGATCTATTTTACAAATTGTCCAAGTTACTAAAGTATTATTTGGAATTAAACTATTGTCACCTATATAATAATGAAAGCCTGTATAACAAAATTTGTTTTATCTTGAGTGCATAGAATATAAGATTTATTTTTCTCAATTTGCATCTATGATGCGTTGAAAGGAGAATGAAAAATGAAGGATCCAAAACGAAGAGATTTAAATGGAATCAAAATTTTGCAGATGAAATAATCTGCTGTAATAGGGTTTTTAAGGCAAATGAAAAAACTTTTATGCTCCTGAATAAGGAAAAGTTATAGCTGGTTATTTCGGAAAATTTAATTTTAATTTTTTTAACTTAATAATAAAAATGTATAAAATTCTATCGGAAAAAATCTGATTAATAATTTTCTTAACTACTGCGTTATATAGATTATTTATACAGCAGTAACGATTGCTTGAGGTGTTGTACGTTTTGTTATATTATGTATATTAACATACTGTTAAAAAAAACAGTGCGCTTATATACATACAAATCATTCAATATAATATGGCAACCCCAGTGCAATAAAGCACACATGTATTTAATTTTAAAAATTAAATAGAAATTTTATTCAATATTTGTTGAAATTTTGTATTTTAATAGTTGCTTATACATATGCATAAAATTATTATATAATGTACATATAAATGCATACATGTATAATAAACTAAGTAACGTATGAATTATAGGTATTTGATTTTCATTCACATTTTCTTTAAATCATTTAAAAAGTTAAGAAGAACAGTTAAAAGAATTGATAATTGCATTGATTTCCTTACTTTGACATTGATATTGATGATTATTGATATGTAATGTTAATATAATATAATAATAGCAATAATAGTAATAATAATAATTTTATAGATTGATCATGAATTGCAGTTAGTTCCCAGCATCAGTTGATATTTGTAACTATAATATTTACATATACAGACGTATTTAATAGAAAAAATACATTAATATTTATATATGTTTATATACATACTGATGTATAGCTTAATATTTTATGAGCTAGCCTTGTGTTATAAGAAAATGAATATACAGTGATGAGTATACACATATCAATAATTCATATTAGATGATGGGAATTATAATTGTAATTTGCTCATATTAATTGAATATTAATTTTATATAACAAGAATACGGTTATAAAGAGAAAAATCTTTGCTTTATAAATTGAAGTTCTCCATTAATTTATATTGAATTATACGATTAAAAATTTAATTGACGTTTGACGTAACTCATTTTTATTAAATCAAATTTCACTGTTTCAATTATTTCCAGAGTTAATGAAAAAATAGTAAAAAGTTACATTTTTTTTTTTCATTAAGTTTTCAATTAAGTTTTCCGCGAAATATTTACTTTTATTATAAATAAATAAATCTAATGATGTTTTTGACGAATATGAATTTTTAGTATTATGATCTGTAAATTCGACAAAATTTGTGTTGTCAAAATTATCGAACGAAAATTCTATGTAAGAAACTTGATGAATAAAATTAACAATCAAAATAAATACATTTGTTTTTAAGGCATTGACTATTTTTAGGTTAGAATAATGTCATTTTTTAATTACTTGAGCTAACAATATTTTGGACTTAGAATACCAAATCATTCGCCGATCATAATTTGAAATGTTATTCGATTTGCCTGGTTCATTCGATTCGCCAAAACATTCGCTTCGTCGATTCAATTTATTAAGCATAAATTTCTTAATTGAATTTAAAAAATTTGATTAATAAATTACGGAATGAAAAATATTTATTTTGTTCCAGGTGATTTTTTCAAGGTGAAACTTCATTATTATATATTTGAAAAGTGTCTTTAAATACTTTTCAAATATTTTGCGACGTTCATGTAAATTTTTGCGGCATTTTTTAATAGTTTTTGTTTTTTTCTTATTGCAAATTAAGTTGTGATATAAAAAATTTCTTCGAAAAATTTAAATTACAAAAAAAGGATTTTTTGTTTTAAATTTTGTTTTCCCCTGTATATAAAGAATAATATGACTAAAAGTATATATAAGTATGGGAGTGTGTATATGTTCCATTCTTTTAGTGTTTTTTTTTCTAGTAATTTGGGTTGTTTAAAAAGTTTTTAAATATTTTTTCACATCGAAAGGGAAATTTATGTTTTTTTTTTGTTTTTCTTTGTTTGTTATTGTTTTTATTTTTAATGTTTTCATTTTGGGTTGATTTTCCAAAAGAAAAAGGTTTGTTTTTTTTTGTTTTTATTTTTTTTAACCATGAATTAGAAAAGAAAGTTTATGATTTTAAAAAATGCTTTTTTTTCTTATTTTCTTTTTTCTTTATATTTTTATTAATTATAATGAAGTAAATAAAAATTAAAAAAAAGAAAAACAAAGAACAAAGAAAAAAAATTGAAAGGCTCTATTTGAGCTATTTTGATATTTTTATATATATATTTTTTTTAATTTAATAGTTAAAGTGAGTATAATAAACATTAATTTTTATTTTGAAACGAGAGTTAATAATCCAATATAATTTTTGTGGCTTTCCGCTAATGTTAAAAATTAATAGCATAGCATATGAATGTTTAGTGTGAGTATGTTCAATAATGTTATATACCTTCGTATGAACATGTTTATATGAATGTATTTTGAAAATAGCAGTGGACATATACAAATTTGTGCGAGTAACCTAAATGATTCCTTACTTTGAGTATATTGTGTGAATTTGAAATTTTAAGATTTTGTATTCGAAAAATTTATGGAATTGGGTATTGATATTTTTTTTAGGAAAAATATTTTTATTGAAAAAACAAAAAAGGAAAAGTATTAAATTTTTAGGGTTAAAAAGAAAAATTTTATTTTTCTTTAGGATTTAAATAGCTCTTATGTTATTTTGCGCCAGTTTTTCATATACATATATTATTATACTCGTATTATGCAAGACTCAAAATCATCACATGTATCTGTATAACAGGAAGCATAATTATGTATATAGACAAACAGAATTCCAAAATATGTTAAAAAAAATATATATGTACCTGTATACAGGTACAGTATACAGTGATATATATATATAAAGTGATATATATATACAGGTATATATATATATCACTTTCTGTGATTATTTTGTATATATATATGTATATCACTTTCTCTGATTATTTTCAACCAATTTCACTTAATTTGTTTTGTATCAAAATTGAGCTCATTGAAATATCTTTAATTTCGAGCAAACGAATAAAAAAAAATTCGATTTTGTGAAAAAACGACTAATCCTTTAATAAGGCCAATAACGCCAAAATTTGATTTATATTAAACGGTTTTTATTCCTGAAAATTTTTAATTATTTTTAGAATAATTATTTATTAAAATTATTGCCTTAACTATTTATAATATCATAAATTAACTAAATTTGTTATTCAATAATATAATATGTATATATACATATGTATGTATGAAAATTGTTATGTTATTTTTCTAAAAATTATATACATACATTAAAAGCAATATCAAATAGATTATAATTAGTACACTAACAAGAGGTCTATGGTCAGTTAAATTTTAATATTATATACATATAGAAATAGTAATTTTTTCGATTTTAAATTTCATAATACTTAAACAAAAAGGATATTTATATGTCAATCCAAACATGTAAAACATTATTAACGTA